GTACAGAAGAGCTCCTGTGAAATTCACACAAAAAATATTTGTTTTTACTCTTTATAATTTATAATTCTCCATGATGATGTATTCAAGTATGAATTTACAAGCGATGTATACAGGTGTCATTTCTAAATATATTCAAAATAGTTCCTTAAAAGTCTTTGAGGAAGTATTAGTTAAAAAAAAAAGCTCTATTCTTACAGCAAAGCATAAAGAAAAGAGGTCTCGTATCTTTGGAGGGAGAGCAGACTCAAAGTAGAGGGTTGCTTTTTTTCTTTTATCTTCTTTACAGTTGAAGTCCTGACTACACATGAAGGAGAGGGAAGAGAAGCAGAGCTGGTGATTCAGTAATTCTCACCTGCCATTGGAGGAAGAGCAAGGAAGTCCCGCCATACCGAACCAAGCCCCTGACCCCTGACCTACGACCCCATTGGGCAAAAAAACGCGGCCTGATAACGACCCGTGAGCCAATGAGGAAGTTGCTTAGGGTCAGGTCCTCGCCTTCTCCTCCAAAACAGCAGCAGCATCTTCATCGTGTTAAACATAGATCACTTTTTTCTCTCAAATATGTATATACTCGCACCTGGTTACAACGCATTAGTGATCATAACATCATAACAAAAATAACAAACAAAAAAATAAATAAACATAAAACATTAAAATTGTTACATCTGGGGTTGCATGCCATCACCTCATTATTTATCATTAAATGTAATTAAAATACATTTTTGTCATTAAAAAGAGCAGGGTTGTCATCACAAGGGTGTGTGTGTGTGTGTGTGTGTGTGTGTGTGTGTGTTTGAACATAAAACATCAGTTTACATGACAGTTCTGTAAAAGTAGAACAAATAGAACAAATCATCATGAGTTCATAAAACGCAGGGTGCCGTTTGATATTTTTTCCATGTGCATATTGTTCACTTCAGCTCACTCAAGCAGCATGTGGAGATAACTATGATAATAATAATAAATATGCAGATAAGATGCAAAAAAAGAGAAATGTTGCTCGTCAGTCAACATTAGGGAAGCTGATTGGGAGGCAAGGAGAGCTTCACTGTAATTCCAAGAGTACAAAAAAGGGCGATATGACCGTGGTTGTTAAAGATGGAGCTTCAATTGAAACACAGTGGCTAATGCAGTTGACTGCCATTAAAAACCATGGAGAAAGAAAGAGATTCCTTTTTGAGTTTTCCATATCAGGGTAGCTTTTCAGAATGCTCATCCTCCATTCTGTTAAGGGCGCTCAGGAGTGGAACACACCCCACATTGACCGAGCAAAGCCATAAGCCCCCCCACACACCCCCACCGCCATCCCTCCTTCTCTTCTTCTTCTCTCTCTACTTGGGTTGCATGAGTTCGGGCAAATAGCCGGACTGGAAGACCTAGGACTGGTAAACATCAAAAGGAGAAAAGTTTGATTCTGCTTTCGGCCGCTATAAATCACCTTGTTGTTTTTCTTTTCTTTTCTTTATAAATAGTTTTTCTACAAAAAATCTGCATCCTGTTCTGTTGCTACGGTTGAAGCTCCCCCAAAACGCACAGAATCATCCTGAGGTATTTTATTTGATACAATTTGGCTTTGTGAATCCAATCGATCCAGCAAATCACTTTAAGATGGTTTGTTTTTTTGTATTTTCTGCCTGTACAATTTGTACAGTTTTGTAATGCTATAAAAAAAAAAGTGTCGTGGGCACGCGTGTACATGGAAGAATGTGCATGTGCAAGTCTTTTCTGCTAAGTATTATCAAAAAAAAACAAAGAACTAACAAAGAAATGCTTAAACAATCAGGTTAGGAACCAAATGTTCTGGTTAAGACTTCAAGCTTACCCGAGTGTTGCCATGCACACACACAACTTACTCCACACTAACATGGAAACATGATGGATGAGCTCATAACAGTGGAGCTTACTCGGATCCATCCCTCACCATCTTGGCCCGCCCAACCCATCCCACATTGAACCCAACCAACGCTGTAAAGGTAAACAAGGGATCCATCTCAAGTAGTCTTCAGATCCTCAAGAACCCTGGTTGACTGCGGATCAAAAGTAGCTGATGATCAATAACCCCAGTTAGACTGTGGTGGTTGGATAGCGTATAGCTCTGCTATTGCTGTATCAACCAACCAATGTTCAATTTTAAGAAAAAAAGTGTTCTTCTATAGTTATCCAACACTCTAGTGATGTGTCACCAGGAAGGGAAGAAGGAAGGAGGAAAGAAGGAAGGAATCATCAGTCTTTTTTTATACAATACCCTGTTTCTCAGTTGCAGGGAGGTCGAAAGACAAAAACACACCAGCGCCCACCCCCCCCCCCCCCCCAACACAAGGTGGTGGTGGACACGGTTGTCATTTAATCCTTTTCTCCCTTGTTTTCTAACCTCTTTGCTCTCTTCCCTTCCACCATCCCTTGCTCTTTTGCAACAGGATGACACTGATTTACACTGATTTACTAAGCACAAAGGTCAAGGATAAAAGGTTTTTGATTGTACAAGTATCCATCCACCATATTTGGCAAGACACAGTCCCTTTTTCCAAAAACATGTAAAATATGTGTCTGAGAGTGTATTTGTGTGTATTTTATCTTCTCCGACACAGAAATAAATCAACACATGCAAAATAATCTACTACTCTTGATGGTATTTTTCAGAAAGCTATGCTTTTTCAAAAGCATACGTGGGAGAGAGGTTTTAAAACTAATGGCTATTGTGCTACCAAATAAGCAAACACTAAAATCCTACATAGGGGGATCCGGATGCCAGAATCCCTAATAAATCTTATAGTTTAATAGAATAAAAAAGCAATACTTTGCAATTATTTTTCTATGTGCAGAGCCATAAATGAAATGCCCACCAGATGCCTCAGATTGTGTGTCCTTTTCTATCAGTGATTTTGTCTTTTTATCTGTCAGTCTGTAAACATTATGCATTGATCGCACCTACATTTCTCCCAGCGTCTCATACCTATCATCCCTTTAGCATTAGCCTAACATTTCAACCAAATTCTGAGCAAGAACACCGACAACCCTACCGGAGGCTCCGCTCTGCGCCATTTAGCTCATCTCCATTCTCCCTTTCTCTCCTCTTGCACTGCCAGGTGTCTCGGTAGCCATATTTGTCAGAGTAACAAGCAGCAGACCGTTGGACTAGCTTACTGTGACGCCTCAGCCCTCCTGGGACGCCCCCGTGTCTGGCCGTGACATCAAACGTGCCCATCTGGCCTCTCTGTCAGGCCTCTTCTCCTCAACTAGAGAGCTGCAAGCTTGACAGTGGAGGTGGAAAGGAAACAGGGGGGGGGGGGGGGAGTGGTTGAAAGAGAGGTTATCTCCTCTCTCTCGCCCTCCAATTCCCCTCACATTCCCCCATGCTCCTTACCACTAACTTATAAACTTCTATCACAAATCAAATACCTCTTTCCCAACAACGCCTGTAGGAGTCCTCTATGTCCCATTAATGGGACTAAGCCATTTCCTTAGCCTTTAAAAAACCTACAGGGTAATGATTCCACATTTACACCAGGATACCTTGTGGCAGCGTGCTGACCATGCAGCCAACTCATTGGTACATGGCAGAGAATGGACAAAAAAGGTGATATCATCTGCAAAGAGAGTAGTAGTAGTAGAAGTACCGCCATACCCAAGTGGGCACAAGTTCTTTTGGATTACAATGTTGAAGAGAAGAAGAAAAACGTAGTGTGGCTATGGCATCCCTTTGTGGATAACATAGTTGATAAATTATAATACAAACCCAGAGAGCAGTAAGGAGGAGAGAACACATTATTTCTTAAGTCAACTAAACATCTGACTCCAGACTGGGGATTTTTTTATACACCCGCCTATTGCTGAACTGGGCTGAGTTTAGGACACCACGTGGGGCCGGGTATGCACTAGTCTTAGAGGCTGAGTAAGGCATCACATGCTCTTTATTGTACATGTCATTGGCTATCCGCCCGTCCCGTGAGCAGTATGAAGTGGTAGATTTAACAGAAGAGCGGAGATTGTTCGCATCGTTGCGTGTTTTGATGGGGGGCGCTCCGAGGACCGCTGCAGGGGAGGCCACTGCCAGCTGTTTGTAAATATCTGAGGAGCTACGCCCGTGGACCAGTCTGCTGCTGGTGTCGTCCCTCAGCGAGTGGCTGAGGAAAGGGTTGTCCGAGCCATGGGCCGGGTACAGGGACTGGCTCCTCTTGCTCTCCTCGAGGTTGTGGTTAAACATCATCGATTTGGACCCGGTGCCAAACAATCTGCCGGAGTAGGGACGCATGCCGAAGAGGTTGGCATAGTGCGAGTCAGATGCAGACTCCAGGAAGCGATCCTTCTCCTTCAGGCTGACGCTGCGCGCCGGTCGACCCAGGTCCACATCCTTGGGCTTTTCTAGCATGATGTTGTCGAAGGAGTGCTGACGACTCAGCCTCAAGCGGTTTCTCTTTTGAACATGTGGCCCATCCGTCTGCGGCCAATACAGACCAAACATTTCGTCTGGTTCCTGCTGTTGTTGGTGGTGCATGGTGGGACTGACCAAGGGGTCGGCAAGGAGCTGGTCCTCGCTAATGTCATACAGGTTTGCTGTGTGGAGGCATGCTTCACACCGATTGTATGGTGAGCGTGTGGCAGAAGTTGCAGCAGGAATAGCAGGGGTGTATGACCCTGTTGGGGGGTAGCTAGAGGACACTTTGGACAAGCAAGACCGGCAGTGTGTCTGTTTGTAGCGCTCAATGGATTCATGTGGGGACATGTTTTTCTCTTTCAGGTTGTAGTGTTTAGAGTAAGTTGGATCTGGGAGAAGATCTGAGTCGCCGTGATGCAAAGGGGAGGAGTTTAGATGAATGATGGGCTGCTCACACTTCCTATAGTTGTCGCTGTGGTCGGAGTAAATCTCGGGGTAATCCAAATCGTCGGCAGCGAGGCCGCGGCTCTCACGGTAGTGCATGGGGTCTGTATGCAGGCTCATCTCTCGCTCTGAGTCGATGGTATAAACTTTCTCTCCTCCTACTACTCTGCCGGGTTGGTTGGGTCCAGCGGTGACTGGCTTTGTTTTTAAGTAGGACAGCTCTACCTCACTGCAGTCCCTTGGGTATTTCGATGGCACCGATCTTTTTTTTAAGTTGTCCTTGGGCTTCAGGTGCTTGTTGTTTTCTGGGTCCTTGTATGAGGCCGCCCTGCTGGAACAGTCGGAGATGTCAGAGTGGGCTGCTTCCTCAGGGAGGTAGCGCTGTGTCTTCATTGACATTCGTGGGTCTGGCATGAGCATGTCGGGCATCGGAGGGGGTCCAGGTGGCGCCGAACGAAGCGTGTCCACCGATTTCTTCCACAGTGTTCGGGGAGGCTTGGCGTTGGTCTGGACTGAGTCGGCGTTGACCGCCACCTCTACTGAGTTGGGGTTGGCATCATTCAGGGTCAAAGGATGCTGGCCTCCCTGGAAGATGTAGTTGTTAAGGTGGTCTTTGTGCCGGTTAGCAAGGTAAGACTGCAGGTCACCGGTGTCCCCGTAGATCATATCTTTAGGAGCATAGCTACGGTTGTCGGCGTAGATGAAGTTGCCCTTCTCCGCCATCATGTCCATGATCATCGGGCCGGCTGAGTGCATGAACTCACGTTTGGGGGAGTTCATGTGGGAGCCGGCCAGGTTAGACATGTTGGTCATCTGTTTGGCTGATTTTATTAGCTTTAGCATTTTGTCCTGGGGGCTAAAGTCCAAATCTGACTTTTTCTTCATGTCAATGTGGACGCCATGGATGCAACTCCAGATTCCCTGCATGACGACACATGGTTGAACGAGTGGAATGGATGAGGGGGGGGAGGGGACCAAATAAGGGATACATGGAAGAAAGATGTGATGGTTTGATAGACATGGAAGGAAACAAACGGAATAATTATTAGCTTTGATTTTTTTTTATTTGATTTGATATACTTTATTAATCCCCGTGGGGAAATTGTTTCTCTGCATTTGACCCATCCTAGTGTTAGGAGCAGTGGGCTGCCATTTTGAACGGCGCCCGGGGAGCAGTGTGGGGAACGGTGCCTTGCTCAGGGACACCTCTGTAGCACTTGGTCTTGCCGGGACTTGAACTGGTGACCTTCCAGTTGCTAAGCCAAGTCCCTATCGACTTTGCCACCACCGCCCAAACATACTTGTGGTCTATATGTTGTTTTGTATTGGTGCCTCAGTTAATCATAGCATATTGAACCATGAAGCCATACAAACATTGGAAAGAGCATTAAATGAGTCTTTCTTTCATTCTGTCTGAAACACGCTGTGCCGTTCGGTTTATAAAGACTTCAAACTGTGCCCAGCAATAAAGATGGAAATCTGTTTTGTTGAAGATAGGAAATATTTTAAACAACCGTGAATGATTGATATGAGAGGATGATGCGTTAAAAACATAATCCAGGGTTTTCTTAGAAAGGATTTAAAATTATCATTAACACACCAATAAAACAAAACACACACACAATGTTTTTAAATAAAGGACCACACTTTTTAAAAGAATATATACTGATAGAGAAAATATGAATGCAAAAAGACAAGTCTAGCTGCAGCTGCTGTTTGAGAAAAAATAACTCGTAACTTTTCAACCTGAGTCTTTTTTGACAGGAAACAACAATTAACAGGAAGAAATTGCCTTCACTCTGACTGTGAGGGAGGTTTTTAAAGCCAGTCTTTGTCAATGGACTAACAGCCAATCAAGCTAACAGTAATGTTACACTCTTTTTACGGCTCATCGTAAAAAGCCTGTTTTTTAAATGAAACCATTTCCCAGTTCAGAAATACATCCTTAAAATGTGTTTAAAACGTTAACGAAATGAAAGTGCTTTGTGGTTCAGCACACATTTTGTGGAGCATATCATCACAAGATAATCCATTAAGGATGTATTCTGCCCTAAATCACTCTTGAGGACGGCTTTAAAGTCATTTCTCTTTCAGGTACCTGCGTTTATCTTCTCTAAAAGTTATTGGTCTCCTAACCACCCCCCTTTGTTAACTTTGAAAACAGAGTCACGCTCTGCCTCAAAAAGCAGTGCAGACACTGCAGTGCTTTTAGGGATGCACGTCCATGTTCTCTGTTCTCACACACAATGAGGGAGAATGCTGACCTTTCAGCAGAATACGAGAGAATAGATTGATTTAGTGTGGGTTGCCGTGATTTCACCCAAAAACATGCCGCAATTAGGATCTATTTCTGTCTTTATTCAGGGCTGCCTCGTGATTCCCCCCTCCCGTCTGCATCCTCCTTTGTGCAGCCCTCCCTCCTCCGCTCTTATTTCTCCTCACTTTTCTGGTTTAGCTGTATAGCTCTCTTTCTCTGCATGTGGGTTTGTGTTTTCAGGCTCTCTCTTTGAAGAAAATAAAACTAAGATAGGCCTGTCAGAACCAAATAAAGCAGCACTAACGCCCATAATAGTTGAAGTGCATTGTTGAGCCATATAGCCTTAAACATGACTACTGTTAAACTAGTCAGACCACCACACACCCAAACACTACTCACATGTGCATACATTAAGTGGGCTGTCTCGGTGGTGTATCTCTAAGGCCATAAAAGGTTGTTGTGCTCCCTATCTCTGTTTCTTATCCTATATCTAATAGAACTGCTCGGGTCTTGATAGATTGAGTGGGGAAGTTCATGAGATCTTTCTAGAGAGTTATCAAGAATAACTTTTATCCAATGACCTTTCCCCTCTCTGTCTGTGTCTGTGTATTCTCTTGTTCCAATTAACCCAGCCAAATCTTTTTTCTTGTTTTGTATCTATATCTACGCCGGGATCCGGAGTCGAGGCTGATCCTCTTGCTGTAGTCCTGTGTCGTGGATCCTCTATCCTGAGTTCTGGATTAAGTCGTGGACTTCGGGTCGTGGCTGAACCTGTCTCTGCGGTCCTGCCTTGGGTCTCGTCATGCTGCTTCCCTGATGGCTTCCACAGGATTGTAGCTGACATCCTCGTGGATTCATCTTCTTATTACAGACACATGCATTTCCTAACATTCGGTCTATATGCTGTAAAATGTATTATCTCTTCGATTTACACACGGCATCTATTGCACGTCTGTCCGTCCTGGGAGAGGGATCCCTCCTCTGTTGCTCTCCCTGAGGTTTCTCCCATGTTCCCTTTAAACTGTGGTTTTCTCTGGAAGTGTTTCCTTGTACGATGTGAGGGTCTAAGGACAGAGGGTCTAAGGACAGAGGGTCTAAGGACAGAGGGTCTAAGGATAGAGGGTCTAAGGACAGAGGGCGTCGTTTTTCTCATACTGATATTCTGAACAATCTGTGCTGTTGTATTTGCTGTAAAGTGTCTCTACTGTAGGCTATTTTTATTATATGTACAGCACTTTGGCTCCACCAAAAATCGTTTATAAATGTGCTATATAAATAAAACTTGATTTGATTTGATTTGATTTAATAAAAGCAAACTCAAAACCCATCTCTTCTGATCTGTCTTCCTTGTAAACTAATTTCCATCACCTAGTTTCCGTTCAACATTACCATCACTTCAGTCACATGCTTTTATCACATGGCAATACATTACATGTCACTTGTTAGACGCTTTTATCCAAAGCGACTAACATACTTACTCAATACTGTGGGCAATCCCCACAGGAGCAATTTGGGGTGAAGTGTCTCAGGGACACAACGACAATGCTGACTGCAGTGGGACTCAAACTTGCTATCATCTGATTCGAGGATGAGCGCACTAACCCACTGAGCCACACCCTCCCAATACTTATGTTGATAATAATGTTGTATAATGCTTTTATAATTGTTATGCTTTGACATTTGTATTTTTGTCTTTGCTATGTTTGCTTTGAGACATTTCTTGTGATTTGGGGCTATAATACATTTTGATTTGATTTGATTGATAAGACTGTTGTTCAAAGTGTGTCCTGCTTTTATTAAACAAGACACATTCCCAACACCCGCAAAACATCTTAAAATTGCTTGTAGAACATGCCTTCATGCACCAAAAAAACCTCCTGTAAAAGAAAAAGGGTCCTTACCCTACTGATGGCGAAAAGAAGGCCGGGCGTGCTGGTGCAGACTCCAGTGAAGCAGTATCTCAGCCTCCAGTAGAAGAGGTGCTCAGAGACGAAGGTGATGATGGAGAGCCCCATGGCGGTGGCCAGCATGTAGAAGACCCCGGCCATGTTGTCCACATCTAGCTGACTGGACATCACTTCGTTCTTCTCATTGTGGCAAATTCCTGTCAGCCACTGGGCTTCCAGCTCCTCCATTTCACCTGGAAAGCAAGAGAAAAGAGAAAGACTCAAATCCTTCCCTGAATGGCTCACCTGTGTTCCGAAAAGACTCAAACTATGATTGTTTGTGATGGAAATACGTTTTTAACCCTGAATGAGACACATTAAGAATTTCTACTGGAGTTCCTTTAAGGCCCTGTCACACTGTCCCGAAATTGACACCCGATGGACACACGAATATGGAATTGTGAATTTCGCACGAAGATGGCCCCGAACCACACACGAAGGCAACATTTACATTACATTTAAGACATACAACTGCAACTGAAAGTAACACAAACAATTGTGTTACAGTACTATGATACTGTACTGATATCTTCAGACTTTGTTCTTTACTTTATCCGTCGTTATATGTAGAAAATATTACGTTTTCTTCGTAATGTTGTTTCCATAGCAACAACAACTTCCTGTCAACTCGCCTTCAAAATAATATATTATATCCTTTTTAGTTTCACAGAACACAAATTGGGTTATTTACATAATATATTTACATGATTTTGTTGTGCAATAAAAAACCCGATGGACACACGATAAAGGAAATGTTCAAATTCGGCTGTGATCGTAGCAACATCGGGCCATTCGTGAGGGCATCTTAAGCCTTCGTATGACCGCCGGTGGAGTTTCTCAGGCTCCGGCAGCAACTTAGTGAGCGGTGGCAAAATCTTTGGCATGCCAAAAAATTGCCGAAGGACCTTGAGAAGGTTCATTTTCGTGTTGAATTCGTGTGTCAATTGTGCCCTTCGTAAGGCCATCGTGAGGGCATCTTGTTATCATCGGTGCCATCGGGCATTCGCCCCGATCAGAGTGAGGGCGAATGCCCGATGGCACCGATGATAACACGAAGATGACACGATTTGACAAGATGTCCTCACGAGTGCCTTACGAAGTTGCCGCTCACTAAGTTGCTGCCGGAGCCTGAGAAACTCCACCGGCGGTCATACGATGGCTTGAGATGCCCTCACGAATGGCCCGATGTTGCTACGATCACAGCCGAATTTGAACATTTCCTTTATCGTGTGTCCATCGGGTGTCAATTTCGGGACAGTGTGACAGGGCCTTTATGGGCTGTTGCAAAATCTTCTTGGATTTTATATTTTCTTTTTGGGGTTAAATTATTTTATTGTAAATGGTGATACAGTATCATCTGAAAAGAGCGACATCATTAACATTAACTAAAAGGAAGAAGGGAAGTTTGGTCGATTTCAATTTGTATTTAAGTGGTTTTTGAACACAAAAAGGATCTGTTTCATGTATTTTTGTAAAAAAACACGTCTACATTTGGGTCAATTTAGCTTTAAAAGTGTCAGTGTCGATAAATGTCTTTTTTTCTTTAGGGGTTGTTGTTAAAAAGAAATGTCTGCCACTGGGCTTCAGGTCGCCGTCATGTTGCCTGATAGGGCAAAGAGATTGTTTCTTTAGTGTTTATAAAAGAAAGAAAGGTAGAAAGACTTTATCTTTTTCCATCCCTCACTCTGTATTCACTTTCCTCCCCCCCCCCCCCCCCCCCCTTCTCCCTCTTTGGCTTCCTCCGTGACATTTGGCGCGTGGCTAATCCAATCTGTGTCATTCAGCGCTGGATAACGAAGGCTGCTAGTGGGGAAAGACACATATCATGGTGATGTTCAGTGAGATGTCTTGAGGGGGCAGACTCACTAACACACCATTAAACCTTTCAGAGAATTGACGAGAATTTGTATCCTCCTGGATGTTTAAATAAATGAATAGCCGTATCTAGCGTTTCTAATACGACATTAGGAGGTGCTTAAAATTGGCAGCAAAAGAAAAGAAGATATAAACATTATAAGGTCATTTTTCTATCTGTCTATAAGGGAAAAGCTTTGGGGAGTTATGACTTGCTTGCACTTGATTTTTAAGCCATCAGACAACTCAAGCAATAGTCTGGAGACCAGTCAGTTGCAACACAAGAACACCAGTCTATACCCACCATTTTGAGGTATGTGAAAATGTTGAAGCATTTAATAATACATTGTTTTTTGTATTTATGTAAGACGTTTGAGTCCTGTTACAAAACCTTCTGTCATCTCATTTAAATAATTATGAACCTCAAACACGAAATCCATTCCAGTTCAGCACACTCACTTATTTCAAGTTTCTTCAGAATGCTTATCTGCACTCTACTTCATAAATACTGGAGCACAATAAGTCCAGACCCTGACTGACTGATATTAAAGTCTGACAGATTACAATTTTGCAACACTGTTGAAACTAAATGTGGACTATTGCTGCTTTTACGAAAAATGTACATTTAATCAGGATTGTGCTTTCGGGAACTAGGATTAAAAAGTAGTGAGAACACCAATTTGGGACTTTTCCATAGTATTGCTAAACTGGCACTGCATGAGAAAACAGTTCTTCCATTTCCATTCAGGATAAATATGACCTGTGAGTGCCATGTGTTTCCAATTGTCTCTCTCTCTCCCAGTGTGTTTGTTCTTCACCTTCCTCCACCCTTCTCTGTGCCCATCTTCGCTCTTGTCTGTGAAAAGCCATATGCTCTGCACCCAATCTGTGTCTATCTGATCAAGTAGCATCTGCCAGGACACAGAGTCACTGTCATCTATCAAGGACCTGCCCTCCCCCCTTACCATCTCTCTTCCTCTCTACCTGACACACAGTCAAGTCCTCGTCTTCCTCTCAAACCTATACTCCTTTGCTGATCCTCTCTTCGACCTCTCTGTGGCCATAATGCTCACTTTCTCTTTATTACTTTTGGAGCGGACACATTCTGCTCATTCATTTCACATTTCCCTGTGTTTGATTTTTATATTTGCTGTTGTAATTTATTGTCTTCTGTTTGCGATTGTAGTGATGTGTTATTTATTATTTGCATGTACAGCACTTTAGCTCGACCAAAAAACGTTTTTAAAATGTGCTATATAAATAAAACCTGATTTGATTTGATTCGCCGGTTCATATTAGGGATGGGAATTTGAAAGCAAATATATATTGGAATATTCGACCACACACGGTTGCCAAGCAGCGCTTATTGTTGTTTAGGCTGGCCACTCATGTGTCGCGAGTGTTGACAGGGGGCGGGGGAGCACGCTCATGAACTGTTAGCGCCGGAACCTCGCAACGGCTGCGGAGCTCATTTGGGCCACATTTGGGCCTAAGATGAAGTTTGAGTCTGCGTGATCTGCGTGTAGGGAGGGGCAGCAGCCATATCATTAGCTAGAACTAGCTAGATCTGATGGATTTGGACATAAACGCGAGTGAAGTATAACCGGACACGAGAGAGAGAGAGAGATCAGCACCTGCAGCTCTGCCCGCTGTGAGGGACCGGTGAGCGGAGCAAAACACACCTTTAGACGTCACCTAACACATTTAGCTATGGCACTGTCGTATATATATACATTGAATTATTCAATTTGATAATATGTAATCAACTTAGGCATCACTCCCAAAAAATAATAATAATAATAATAATTAATACAAATATTCATAACTCATATTCGAAAACATGAATAATTATTCGAGTCCTGAATAATTTCGAATATTCGATTAATCGTTCCCATCCCTAGTTCATATTTGTATTTTGTGCTTCTACTGTGACATGTCTCCATGCTTTAATGTTCAAAAAGCCCTTTATTTTTCTCATACTGCCTGTGCTGCAGCACCTCTTTTCACCCTCTGTCTGAAACCAGAGCCCAGTCTGGTCTGATTGGCTAGCTGACCGGCTTTGTTTTGATTGGTCAACTGCTTAGAGATGTCCAACCCCTTAGCCTATCAGGTGCAATGTGTTGTAGTACTACCCAATATAAGTGTGCGTGTTACGTAGTGATGTCACTAAGGAGTCCAATGGAGTGTGTGGGAGAGAAACCTCCTCTCCGGGGGATTGTATCCTTTACAGACCATTTAAATGCACTAACACCTATATAACACCACAGGAAAGGGACAACCCCACAAAGGGTTATAGAGCCTCTTTAAACAAGGCTGTAGTTATTAACTGCAAACACTTATATGTATAGATTTATAAAACACCCTCTGTGTGTATTTGCATGAAATGAGAAGAGCAACAAGATGAAATGGCATTATTAAAAGCCCGACGAAAACAAAAACACTGAACCAGATGTTTTTCAGAAATGATCCAGCCATTGAATATGATGGAGCGCGGCCTGTGTGCTCCGGAGCCCTGATAAGATTTGGTTGGAGAGGATTATTGTGACACCAATGTTCATTTAATCAACTTCAGTGCACTTAATGTGAGTGGCTGTGAACGCTCGCATCAGCAAAATGCTTTCGTTGTAAAATGTAAATGAATCTGTCACTAAAAGCTCGAGCTGTTCCACTCTCTGTTTTGCGGCAGTTGGAAATTGTTTATGTAAGAACTTCTGAAGCTACTGTAATAAAAGAATGTGGTGATTCGGATAGAGCAATGCTCACACACACACACACACACACACACACACACACACACACACACACACACACACACACACACACACACACACACACACACACACACACACACACACACACACACACACACACACACACACACACACACACACACACACACACACACACACACACACACACACACACACACACACACACACACACACACACACACACACACACACACACACACACACACACACACACACACACAGATCTGGTGCGGCAGCAAAGAATATATTAGAATAACTTACACACTGCCCTCTGTTTGGAGCAGCCTTTTGTGTCCAGAATAACATCAAAGGACTATTTATACTTCACTGCTTTCCCTCTGTGCTGTCAGCAGACAAGGCAGTGGTGTGTGTGTGTGTGTGTGTGTATCAGCGCGTGATTCTGGCAAAGAACAATGTAACCTTTTGCCTTCGTGGACAGTGTCTTGCACTTTGCATTTGGGTATGAGAACGCCGTGTGAGTGTGTTTCTCACCGTCTCCGATGATGGCCAGGATAGCCAGATCCACCTGTCGTTTCCAGTAGGAACCTTTCTGTAGAGCAATGCCGTAACCAGTGGTAGCAAAGATGTACCTGAACACAAGCACAGCCAATGAACACACACACAAACAGAAGACATCTTCACCTTCAAACAAATCTTCTTAATTTTCCTCTAGGTGTACCTAACACATATACATGTGGTGAAGTGGACATTTAGGTCACAGATGAACAATCAAAATGATTTTTGTGCCCAAAGACAAGCTCTCAAAGGGTAGATTTCAGTTCTATCTCATAACAATGCAGCCTCATATGTACATTGGAACACTTTTGGCCGCTTTAATTACCCTCCGCTCCGCACTGGCCTTGAAAAGGTCCCTTCTTAATGCAACTTTTAGTGTTTAATTGCTTTAAAAGCGGATCTCTTTGCAGCCAGTACAGAGAGGAGAAACAATTGACAAAGACCAATCATACTTACAATGTAAATATGGGCATGAGAGTGTTGTTCTAAGACACACTTCAAAAAAAATTATGATGTACATATCCATTAAAAAATCGAATTCAAACATATTTAATTGATGTACATATTTGTCGAATGCATGTGCAATCTGGCACCTGAAGATTTTCGACTGGTTGATTGTGTTGGTTTCCCGCCAATAGGTCCAGACTTTCCATAGTTTGGTAAATAGCCGTCTGTAATACACTTTTCTGATTTGTTTGTTCTGATTGAACGAACAAGATATAACGTGTGTTTCAGTGACCTTTAGAGGAGCTGGTAAACACATGTTGTTACCTTTGAACAGAGGCAGGCTAGCTGTTTCCCTCTGTTTTCACTCGTTGTGCTAAGCTAAGTTAGCCAGCTGCTGGTGGTAGCTTCATACTTACTGTACAGACATGAGGGTGGTCATTCTTCTCATCTAACTCTCAGCAAGAAAGCGAACTTTTACATTTATACGTTTGAAAGCACAGAACGTTTGCGTTACAAATATAAAACAAACCCTTAACGCAAGTTGACGCAATGGATTGGACCAAAGAATGGCAGGATCAGACGATGAAGTGAAGACAATCCACACTTAAAAGTGTCTTTTGAAAAGAATTAAAGCTTTGGTTACCCGCTGCCAATGGTCACCAGCTTACATCCCTCATCTCTGCCGGCCGCGTAGTTCAACACCGCAGCATCGTAGATGAAGGCGTCCAGTTTCCTGCAAAGGAGGAGAAACAAGACCCGAGGAAAGAGACAGAAGAAAACAGACAGAGGGAAGGGATAAAGATGCATGAGGGGTTTCAAGTTTTTTTTTGTTAAAAGAGTGAGGAAAAAGTGCACAGGAGGAGACGGAGAGCAGGAGAGGCAGCTTATTTTTCAGAACGTGTTGTTTGTGGATCAATTCGAAAGTGTTAAATCATCCACAATAGGAGTGCAATCCAAGCGTAACCAAACACACAGAGGACACAGCGGGGAGGGGCTGCGGTTCAATACAGCACGCTTCGCTGATGATAGGACCTTGGAGGCACATGGCCGACCTAAACAAACTTTTGACAGACACAATCTCACTTTCTGCCTCCGTCTACACACACACACACACACACACACACACACACATAATAGGGAAGGTTGTGAAGTAGAACGTAGAAACGCCAAGATTCCAGACTGACATTTTCCGTGTAACTGGTGCTGCCATTACTAACCGCTGCTCTTTCACTCTCTCCGTGTTGGATCGGACACACACACACACACACACACACACACACACACACACACACACACACACACACACACACACACACACACACACACACACACACACACACACACACACACACACACACACACACACACACACACACACACACACACACACACACACACACACACACACACACACACACACACACACACACCACACACACACACACACACACACACACACACACACACACACACACACACACACACACACACACACACACACACACACACACACACACACACACACACACACACACACACACACACACACACACACACAACAGAGCACACACACTAATAGTGCAGTGACTGGCTGGCATTTCCTGAATGTCAGATCCAGCCCTCTAACGGAGGCTCACAGCCGATACTTCAGCTGTGTAATTAGCTTAACCCAGCACTGGCTCCATCCACACGCAGGCTGTGTATCCAAACATGTAGGGAACCAGCCGCGTGTGTCCGTGTGTGTGTCCACTTGCGTATCAGTGTGATTGTGGCTGCTCACTTGTGTGCTTGCCAGCAGCCAGACATACTGCAGCTCTAATGGCTTGGAGAGGGATTTAGCCATCACAATATGTCACACCTTTTTTCCGGATTGGATGAAATGTCGTTTTTTTTGCCACTTTTCATTTATACCTCTGAATGTAATCTCTAACACGGCATTTAGTGTGACTGTTCATCGTGTTTTTCACCACTACAGGGACGCTGCAGTGCAGTAGATAACGTGAACTCCATCTTGACCCCGAATAAAACATTTTAGCAGAACTTCTTCAGAGATCCTAATACACATTGAATTGGAAATTCTAAATGTTTCATGGTTTGACCTTTTGCTAGAAAGTTTCTGCATAAACGTTGCCCTAAGAGATCAACGTTTTAGTTGAATTCGATGGTGCTTAATGTGGACAAATCTGTATTCCACCGCAGAACAGAAAGGCTATTTTATGTATCAAACATTATGTTTCAGTTCAAACATTTAAGGCTGTTTTTAAGCAGCACTGTGTCATACAAACTCAAGGGGTCCGCCTGAGAGGAAAGGAAACACAAACAGTTCAGGTTGAAGGCCCATGAGATGCAGAGAGCCTTCGTGTTGAATCTCTGAAAACACTGAAAGTTACCACAACAGCAGTAAATCCTCTGCTCCTCTGTATCCATATTTGCATGTGAGACTTTGTGCAGCGCCATGATATCCTACAGTCATCGTGTTCCCAAAAAACCCCTGCATTGGGATCCTGCTGTGCAGACAGTGCAGCCAGAGGGTGTGTCTCTCCTGTTGCTTGTGTGCTAGGAGGACACTGGCATAATGTGGATATGAACGCATCAATATTAATCAACATTTTATCATTAATTGACCTTTACAAATTCTAAACCTTGCTGGTACTGCGGGTAATTTAAGTCCCGTAATCAATTCAACTCCTCGGTGCATAGTTGTGCGTCTTGTGGCTGCAACAGATTTGGCATGTAAAGCCTGTCAGCATTATGTGTGATCACAGCTAATCCAGCCATCGAGCCTCAAACAGCTGAACGCCGCCGTGTTGCTCATCTGCTAATACCGCAGAATAGAATTATCAATGAGGGTATTACTGGATACACACACCTGCAGCCAGCCGTGTGTGCGGATACACACGAGCGTTACTTCTAAGCTTGCGTGCATGTCTTATTAGTAAACCGGGGTTTTGCTTATTTGTATTTACCTCGGTGCTGTATGTTAATGCAACAACACAGGCGAGGGCATTATACATGCAGCAGTGGTTTAACCTAGGTGCTTACATTCAGTTGACTTATGACTAGTAATGAGAGCGAGTAAGCTCGAGATACATATCTGCATACACATGGATCACATTCTTAGCCCGTCCTTCAAATGGAGAACTCTGATTGGATCCAACCCTGTAGCCATTAACCAATCAGTTATAACATCTTGTCATATCACCCGATCAACCTTATGTCCTCTACTGCCAACATGTTTTTCTCTTACACCATATCTCCATTCCTTAATGTCCCCTTCCTCTATCTCCCGTCCCATTCCCCTTTCCACTCAATTTCCTCTTTCTCTTGCCCTTCCTTTTCCATCCCATTACCACCTTCTTCTCCTCTCGTCTCTTTGCTCTTTACGCCTGCCCTTCACACTTCCTCCATTTCCTCCAATCAGGTCTCCTGCCCTTGGCCCCCTACCCCGCCCCTTTCCTCTTATTCCCATGCGATTGTGCAATGAGAGTCAACCCTCTGCCTCTGCTCCTCCTGCCTTGAGCTCTGCTTTTCCCTTTTCACCTCATCCATTCAACCCTAATGGTTCTAATCTTTCACTCTAACTGTGGTGATAAGCCTTCCTCTCTCTCTTACACACACATAATATGGAAGCATATTGACAACAAAAGATCTAAGAGAGCATAAAGCAAATTCTGAGCGCTATTCAGTCTGCAAGGCAACATTTGAGAGAGCACAGGCGAAGATTTGTAAGAGCAGAACTTCAAGATTTGAGAGTTAAAAATAAAATCCCTCCAAAGAGGGCCATATATGCTGAGGGACAACATGTTATTTGACTATTTAATGCATATCCCTTATCGTTTAGACTACAATATCCATTTTAAGGAGCATTTGGTTTGCACTATACATTCTGGCAACCAGACTGATACCCATAGTGTGCTATTCAAACTGGTAGGGTATGTTTTTTCAAGAAAGATTATATAACTTTTTCCGTTAAAACTACTTGAAAGAAATGGATCAAGTCTAATAAAATAACCCTTCTCTTACAGGTGAATGGCTAAGATGTAGACATACAATTCCTCTATTGAATAGCCGAACCATTTGTCACGCTCCGACGCTGCCCTTCTGCGTCGGCAAATCTAATTCTGCTTTTACAGATCCGTCCCTTTGCGCTTTCAAAGGTTTACTTGCAGACTGAGTAGCGCTCAAATTTGTTCTGTGCTCTCTCAAAATGTTTGTCGTCAATATACTTCCATTGCAGCCCCACCACCGGTCCTATTGTAGAGACCGGTACTAAAAATAGCTCCTGCTGTTCCCAATGAGGAAACCCATTTATCCCCTGTCTCAGAGGAGCTGTCACACACACACACACACACTGGAACACATGACAGAAAGCACACTCACAGACACACACACATCTATTTGTAGGAGCCCAACAACAGAGTGTTTCTTCTAGAGGTTGACAGGTGAATATGTTTTGCATTACTGAACAAGTATTTGATCACGGATCAGTAAAGGGAACCTCTAACTCGCAATCATGCACAAATAGTGTTCCCTTACCCCGTTTTGAGGGTGACAAGTGCGTCCACGACTCCAGTTTGATGATATTTTGTCATGTACTGGTGCATAGCGGGGTAGTTTTTCCTGATGTTTCTCTCTGTTGATCCGTTTGGAACCGTCCCGAAGCGGAACGGAGGCGAGTATGCGTACGGGTTCTGAAACTGTGTTGGAGGAAAGATGGAGAAGAAGCAAGAAGAGAGGATAAACATGGCGCGAAGGAGAGACGGAATCATTTCCAAAACTGTGTGTGTTTGTGCTTTTTTTCTGTGTTATCCGTCAATAAGTAGGACGCAAGCACAACAAGGGTAGGTTTCACCAATTGGTACCTTATTCGTCAGATTGAAGAGATGGACTTTCCCTTGATTGTCTTGATTAGATATATTTAATTCTCCCCAAAATAAGTACTAATGTAATACAAAAATGTCATTAGTCACATTTGGAAAGCACCTTATTTTGTACTAAATGTTGGTTTTCAGTAAGAAAAGTTAAAATGTTACCTATTGTATCAAAGTCCTTACTGTGACACAAATCAATGTATTGCTCTAATTCAAAAGTATTGTAAAAACTGTTGCCATTTCCATGTTATCGCTGTTTAAAAAGGACATATATTTACTTACAATCCATGCTGAGGCAGCCACCAGCTGAATGTGAATTTAAAATGAAGCTATTATGCAGACTGTTTCTTGTATACAATGTTAATGGTGGTATACGTACATGCAGACTTGAAAGGCAGAACACTGTTTAAACGTTTATCCATATCCTATCCGCACAAGATATCAACAAATTGCTTTCTTTCACCAACGCAACATACCTCGCTTGATCCCTATCCATGTTAGACCTTAAGGTGCTTCTGATAACTTACACGATTCTAATTGGGCATGTTTTTTTCTTACCTGTTTGATCCCCTTAAACCTTATACTCCAATCAGGACTCTTTGAGACCGCAGGGCTTCAATCTGTCCCTAGTCTGATCGAGTTTCTCCATATATGTCCGTTTAGGTATCATTTTGTTCAAAGGAGACACAATCTCTCACACGTCTGTCTGCTGTGGGAGAGGGATTCCTCCTCAGTTGCTCTTCATGAGGTTTCTTCTATTTTTATCCCTGGCTTTTGTCTGGGGATGTTTCTTTTATCAGACGGATTGCTCTACTGATTGCAAAGGCCCCATAGGGCACATTTGGGATTTGTGACATCAGGCTACATAAATAAAAGTGACTCGACCTAAATTGACTCATTTCCCTGGTTAAATACTGGGAATCCTAATGTTTCATTCTTCAGTTGTAGATTGCAGTGTAAAAAGCCCTAACTAAAACGTGATAGTCTAACCCTAACCCTTTTCAACTTACCTCTGGGGTAAACTGTATCAAGGTTGTGCATTTTATAGAACAACCTGTGCATGCTCTGTTATATTACATTTAGAAACAAAGCAGCAGTATCTCTTACCTGGATTGGAGGCTTAACACTTAATTTATTTAAACTTAAATTACAATTATTCTCCCCTCTGCCATTTTCCAATTATACATTAGGATTAATTATACCTATATATTTCACTCTTGAAATCGTTACCCTGCTCTACAAATGTATTTTAAGTTACCCTTTCTATTTAGGCCCCTCTTTGCCGATCTACATTAACTCTTCATTTAATATTTCTACTAAATTTACAAGAGACCATATCCAATATTTAACATAAACATTGGATTCACCCAGACTTCAGTTGATTAGCCACAAAAGGAAACATATTCTATTATTTTCCATCTTTTCTTCCTCCCTCTAACTGGATTTGTTTTCCCTTTTTTTGAGCGCTCCCATCATTTCTCTCTGTCTCCATCCCGCCGTATCTCCCTCAGGTGTAATCCAGTCTGTGTACAGGTCAGAGGGTTTTGTAGTCGTGTGCTTGTCGCCCCGGTAACAACCCTCAAGCACTGCGGTAACAATCTGCCCTTATTGCCAGAAACAGACAAACCCTATCAATTAGAAGTGTTTATTATAGGCTCCACTCCAACCACAGTGTGTGTGTGTGTGTGTGTGTGTGTGTGTGTGTGTGTGTGTGTGTGTGTGTGTGTGTGTGTGTGTGTGTGTGTGTGTGTGTGTGTGTGTGGGGGGCTAGCATTACTATACTTGTGGGGACCTACATCTGTTTACACAGTCACGTGTGTTTCTGTACATCCTTTTAAACTGAATTATGCTTGTGCTTTGTTTGAACTCCTGCTCCAAACCATTCCATAAAGTCACCCCACAGATTGTTAAACTCATACTTCTCAGAGTTGTTCTGACCTTGAGTTGTTTCAAATGTAGATTTCCTCTCAAAGTATACCCACCCTCTCTGTCTACGAACAATGTTTTTATTTCCTAGGAAGCAGATGATGTCTGGCTCTGTACATGATGTGTGCCGTTTTTAATTGAACCAGATCAATGAACTTCAATATGTGTGACTTCAAAAATAATACATTAGTGTGTTCAAGATATCCAACATTATTGATAACTCTTATAGCCCTTTGTTGTAATGTGCATAACGGCTGGAGGTTGGTTTTGTACGTGTTTCCCCAAATCTTCACACAGTAAATCAGATATGGCAATATGTGTTATATAGAGTATGCAATGAGTTCCAGAATGTATCTGGCTTTTCCCAATATTGCGATAGTTTTAGCCAGTTTTGCTTTTGCCTTATGGGGACACATTGGAGGTCCCCATGAGGGGAATCATTAATTTTAGGGTGAAGACTTGGTTAGGTTTAGGATTAGGGTTAGGGTTAGGTTTAGGATTAGGGTTAGGCATGTGTTGGTTATGGTTAAGGTTAGGATAAGTCTCCAGGAAATGCATGTAAGTCAATGTAATGTCCCCTGAAGTGATGTATACATGGTATGTGTGTGTGTGTGTGTGTGTGTGTGTGTGTGTGTGTGTGTGTGTGTGTGTGTGTGTGTGTGTGTGTGAGTGTTGTTGTGCACTCAATATTATTAAAACAGCTGTAAAATAATAATTCAATAACCTTCCTAATCGATGTTTTGCTTCACTTTCAACACAGTGGTGACTTCACTTGTAGGTAAATTAGTTGCATAGTAGACTAGTATCATTTGTGTTCAGTTTCTTCAAAACCTACACAATTAACTAACTTAGAACAACGTCAATCAGCACGCTGCCTTTTTTCCCGCACTTTTATATTGCTTAAGATTATTTTCTCCCCAAAGAGCTGCCATTTCAAAAAATAAGTTCCAATATTGGTTTGCGTGTTATTGTATAGAGCGAGGAACTCCTAATTAGATTCAGCTCAAGAAAGATGGATGGGTGTTATTTGTGTCTAATGTGAAATATTTATTGAAGACCTTAACAATGAACTTTCAGTTTCACTTTACAATCATAGTTATTTTAACCCTGACTACAGTATTCTCCCAATGCAAACCAAGTAGTTGTGTTTCCTTAACCCACAGAAAATGTTTTGTTTGTGTTAAAAATTCGACATTTTATTGAGTTTTACATGTAACTTTAAGTTTAAATGTAACTTTTACTTTATGGTAGCTTGAGTTCGGCTTGTCTTACACATTAGAATGGTAGTGATAACTCTAAGTTAAGTATCTGTTTAACATCTGTAAAAAAAACATCTGTGTGCGTGATTGTTGAATTGTTTATGTGTACTAGTTATATCATAAATGTATCTGCATTATATATGCATGTAAATATGTATGCATACTCTATCTGTCTGCCCACATGTGCATCTGTGTTGTATAATCAGGTCAGGTTAGCGGTGATGTCATGGTGTGTGTCTGCATCACGAGAGATGGCCCTCAGGAGACTGCCTCCTCACGCAGACCCTCCTATCGTTTCTCCATCCTCATATTCGCCTCATTTGTGGCTCTTTTAAGGTTGAGCGGAAGCTTTGAGGTCAGAAGAGGGGATGTATGAGGGGGAGAAGGGGGTCAGATCTGCAGGGGGTGATACAGATATGGACTGAACTCCTCTCGAGCTGGATAATTACCAGTGAAGGGCTTTTGAGAACCGCAGCAGCTGCTTGTAATGAAAGCTTGATGCAACGATGATGAGAAAAGAAAGGGACGAGGATCTGTGTGTCAGACAGGTGGAGATAAGAGCACTCACCGCCCCCCAGCCATGAGCCGTGGCTCATGGCTGGGGGGCGGTGAATGCTCAAGCACTCCAGATATCGAGATGTTGTTAACAGGCGATTGAAATAATCTCCCAACCTTTTCTATCTAGAGGTTTTTATGTAAATGTCTGTCATTTTCGGCTGAATTTCCAAACATAGAGGGAAAATAAATACATCCATTATATAAGAATTATGCTTTTAATAATGTACTTGCTTTTTCTACATTAACATCAGTGCGTCCAATCTGTCTAACTCACCTCTCATGCTGTCCCATTTCTATTTCAATTCTCCCCTTCCTCCTTAGTTTTGCTCCTGCTACCCTCTCCATCTCCTTATTATGCAAGTCCTGCTGTTATATAAGCACAGGACTCCCTTTTGAATGTGTGTCTAACTAGAACGTAATGCTCCTGTTTGCCCATCCATCGCTCTAACATGCCACTTTGTTCTTCTACAAATCGACTGTGTCTCTATTAAAGCAGCGGTTCTCAAGGTCCTTGTGCCATTTCAACTCTTTTTTTAAAAACTGCTATTGTGGTGTCACTGCATTGTTATTCAGCTTGTAGTTAAATGTTCTCCTCAATTTTAAATCTGCCTTCTCATTCTAAAAGTAATTCAAGATCTTGATTTGGAGAAGTTTGGTCATGTGACAAGGGAGACATTGAACAAATTAGACTTTTCAAATAATTGTTGATTACGATCTTCATCGAAAATAGAAAAAACCTACAAAGAGAGGTGCTTCATACTTAACCGGTGTAGTAATACAATGGTGCATTGGTTGGAGTAAATAGGTCACATGACATAGAAGCTATTGGAAATAATTTAAAATGAAAACCTGCTGATTTGTTCATAAACATATTCACCTAAAATAGAAAAAAGAAATAGTCGTGTCCTCCTTGTTTAGTGTAGAAATGACTAGGCTGCATTTATTTGGAGTTATTTGGTCACATGACATGAAGGCTATAGAAACTAAATAAGTTAAGAGACTGCTGAAGATACAACAACATTCATATAAAATACGAAAATAAATACATTTGGAATTTTAAGGTCTCGTGATATAGAAGTTATAGAAAAAATAAGGTATACCAAATGTTTTTGGCATCGATGGATTTCTCAAAATGTTCTCAACCTGCTTCGAAGGGCAGCTGTATCCAAGAGTGCTTATCATTGATTCATTTTGGTGAATCAATCGCACCCCAGATAGAAGATGCCTTTACCACTTTAGACTCACCTTTATGTCACATTTTACAAAAAGATAGAAGAAATATAAGAGACGGCACTGTAGTTAAGTGCTTTCAGTCAAGTTCACACCTTTAAAGTTGCTAGATTTGCCATATCGTTCACAATATATTGGGGCGGCCGTGGTTTACGGGATAAATGTGTGTCCACCAAGCAAGATACTTCATCCCAATTTGCTCCAGAGGCAGTCTACAGTATTGAAGTATATCTAAAGAGCTGCAGAAATCATGACGGACTGGCATGAGGTGCAATACTGTTTCCAGGACGAGTCCCCAATGAGAATAATAATATACAAATACCATCACTTGTCATAAAAACTCTGACAAACAAATGTTATGTATTTATATTATTAGATACAAAAGGTTTTTCTTCCTTTGAGATCTGATGCATTTGGCCACTTCTAAAACCAGGTTACTGCGGTTACTATTATGTCACCATGACCAACTGCCAAAACCTCAGCAGTGCACTTGCTTGTTTAACATTTGAATTGTTAAAGTTTGTGCACTGAAAACATGCTCTACTCTGAGCTGTTGAGAAACCAGAACACTCTTCAGCTAGCATAGAAAATAAGACAAAGTAAAACAACTGAAGTCCCTGGTGACTGTACAGCCTTAAACGACAGAGACCTTCACTCTCCCATAAGAGAAGTGTTGCCATCAAGTCAGCACGCAATCATAACTCCCTGTTTATAAAAGGTAACATAAACCGTTACAGCTCTTCCTGCAAAGTGACACAAATGTGCTAAAGTTGTTGAACCCTGTTATCATGTATAATGTGACAGCGCAGGGAGGGTGAATGTGCAAAGTGTCTGATATTTTTGGACTCAAGAATCAAACTTATCGTTTTTTTCCCCAATGATTTCAAATGCAGTATAAGGGTCATTTTAGGAGAACCACATACCATTTGTTCGATTGTACATCTCCACATGTGTCATGCAAAGCTGTTGTATTTATACTTGTAAGTCACTGTGCCATCCGACCTCTGCAGCTCATCCAGAATGCAGCGGCTCGTCTGGTCTTCAACCTTCCTAAATGTTCCCACACCACGCCACTCCTCCGCTCCCTTCACTGGCTTCCGGTAACTGCTAGAATCCACTTCAAGACACTGGTACTTGCTTACCATGCTGCGAATGGATCTGGCCCTTCGTACATCCAGGACATGGTTAAACCGTACACCCCAGCGCGTGCACTACGCTCTGCATCAGCCAAACAGCTCGCTGCACCCTCGCTGCGAGGGGGACCCAAATTCCCATCAGCAAAAACACGTGGGTTTGCTGTCCTGGCTCCAAGATGGTGGAATGAGCTCCCCATTGACATCAGGACAGCAGAAAGCTTACACACCTTCCGGCGCAGACTGAAAACTCATCTCTTTCGACTCCACTTCGAGCGATATAATTATTAACAAAGCACTTATATACTAATAAAGGTCTGGCTTACCTAAAGCCAGTTGAGTAGCACTTGAAATGTTTTGCTCTATGAAACCTGATGTACTTATATGATTCGGTTTTCTTCAAGGTTGTATCTTGTTGGTCGAACGCACTTATTGTAAGTCGCTTTGGATAAAAGCGTCAGCTAAATGTAATGTAATGTGATCTATTCAAAAAGAAATTAAATTGTAGAGACTGAAGTGTTGTTCACAACCAACTTAACATCACTTACATTTATGCTATAGGACAGATGCTGCCGATGTTAAAGTAGGCGACTGTTTCCTAACATGTTAGCCGTAAGACATTGATAAGCAGTATAATCTACGGCTTTTTGCTGTGACTTTGCCCCCTAGTGGTCTAACATCAGTTAAGGTAGCTTTAAGTATACCTCACTGACCGGCATCTGAATGGAGGATTTTTTCTTCATCATTTTTAGGTCAGAGATGGCTCAATGTCCAGCCTCGCTCAGCATATCTGTCTGAGTGGCCGTTTACCCTTCTTGTCTGTTTCCATTCTTCCCTGGCCCTCTCTGTCTTCCCATATCTCCTTTACTTTCACCCCCTTTATTCCTTTCTCCCTTCCTCAGCCGTCAACTTGGCCCATATCTGTCCGCCTGGTGTCGTGTACCATCTTGTGTGTATTGGCCTCTCGCTATTCCTCAGTCACCCTCCTGCCAGTTTCTGTACCCCTTCCTCCATCCCTCCCTCCTTCTCTCCTTCTGTATGTTGTCAAAACCCTCTACATCACTCTCAAATGCTCTTTCCTTGGAAGCCTCCCCCCATACCAACGTCTCTCTCTCCTCAGGAAGTCTCTACCCTTTTGTCTTGCTGTTCTTTCCCGTTTTTTTTACATAGCACTTGACCTTTTTCTTTAATCTTTTAGCCTGTCTCTCTCCTCCCGCAGAGCCACCATTTTCCCTACCATATCTATGCATCATTGTATTACAGTGTGAATTATCAAAGTTGTGCCTGTATAGTAATTTTCAATTACATAATGGCATAACAGTGGTATTACAAGCAATGGCTATATTAAGGGAAGATATTTGAAGTTATAATATTAACCTTTTTATAACCTAAGTCAATACTGAAATGGCAGAACCCTTTTTCTAGACATGCTATAAAATGAAGCTAATTGTAGCGCCACACTTTGCAGACTAGAAATGTGTGTGAATGTGTGTGAAAGGATTCACCTCAAACACAAATGTAACACGACAATCAAGACACAATTCCAAATACTTGCATTGTGGATCCAAATGTCTCAGAAATTCCTTTCTTATGGATTTCCTGCACAATCTTTACAGCGGATGCTTTTACCAGCAAGAGTGTAATTACTTTTGGAGTGCACTGGAATTATTGTATGAAATGTCACACATATACCGCATGACATTTCATATTCAATTCTCTATAGTACATGACACTTCTTTTTACTATTGTTGCAGCAAATGCACCCCTGAACGGCTTGGCTTTTTAAGATAGGCACTGAAAAGGTAGTCAAGTCCTCTTTGATACTTATGAGTAAAGTATGCTCAACACTTACGATTGTAGAACTTGTGAGTTTGAGACTTTAGAAGTGCATACATGTTGGAATACATTTGCATAAAAATGTGTTTCAGCGACATGTTCATGTTGAAAACAGCAGCTCCAAAGCCAACATTCCCAGTGTAAGACAATGTTGTGCGTAGACGGCTCTGCTAAGATTGTTCCCTAGGTTTCATGTTATGTGTTTAGATAGGTTCCTGTTTTATTTTGATAGTCTCGTCTACCCTCATGTGTCTAAAGTACGTTTCCTGCCTTGTCTGTTTTCCCACGGTTGTGATTGTCTAATTGTCTTCACCTGGTGTTGTCTGTCTAGTATATATAGTTCTCGTCTTCCCCTGTCTCGTTGCCAGATTGTCTTGTGCGTTCCAGCGTAAGATCATTTTGTCATTGTCCATAGAGTTATTATCGTCCATAGAGTTATTATCGTCCATAGAGTTATTATCGTCCATAGAGTTATTATCGTCCATAGAGTTATCATCGTCCATAGAGTTATCATCGTCCATAGAGTTATTATCGTCCATAGAGTTATCATCGTCCATAGAGTTATTTTATTATCGTCCATAGAGTTATTATCGTCCATAGAGTTATCATCGTCCATAGAGTTATCATCGTCCATAGAGTTATCATCGTCCATAGAGTTATTATCGTCCATAGAGTTATCATCGTCCATAGAGTTATTATCGTCCATAGAGTTATCATCGTCCATAGAGTTATTATCGTCCATAGAGTTATCATCGTCCATAGAGTTATCATCGTCCATAGAGTTATTATCGTCCATAGAGTTATTATCATCCATAGAGTTATTATCATCCATAGAGTTATTATAGAGTTATCATCGTCCATAGAGTTATTATCGTCCATAGAGTTATTATCGTCCATAGAGTTATTATCGTCCATAGAGTTATTATAGAGTTATCATCGTCCATAGAGTTATCATCGTCCATAGAGTTATTATCGTCCATAGAGTTATTATCGTCCATAGAGTTATCATCGTCCATAGAGTTATTATCGTCCATAGAGTTATTATAGAGTTATCATCGTCCATAGAGTTATTATCGTCCATAGAGTTATTATCGTCCATAGAGTTATCATCGTCCATAGTTAGATAAAGTAAGTAGTTTTTTGATAGTATAGGTTAGACAGTTTATTGAGTGTTTGTTTTGTTGCTTTTTGTATTCAGTGTGTTATGACCTGTCTACATTAAAACACTTGTCTCTGCATCGTGCATTTGATGCCACGCCCTTGTACAGCCTTAACAGACAATGACAATGGAATAATGCAGATGCTCCTTGGGAACGTTTCTAGACACACACATAGAAGCCGATAGAGACGTACATTTCAAAGTTAGCCAAAAAGCGTTGCTGATTAACTTAATTTATTTTTTATTGTTGTATTATTTATGTTTTTTCCCCCATGCCATGTCTTGTCATGTCTATGCCAGGACCCTGTGGGAGTGGGGTTTGCTGATGCAGGCTACCACCAGTATTTCACTGTTCTATATGAACCATTCAATACAACTTTGACTTACAAATGAAAATGTGGTTGGGCTGTTCCTTTCAAATCTAACTTTTTAACTGACTAAAAAAACCCCCTCCGGCCAAATGTAATCAACAAAGTACCACTCCCAAATATCATCTATTACCTTGTTGTCGGAGAGCCCGGTGACTTGATCCACAAACTCCTCCTGGATCATGAAGGCGGCCAGGTTGGCAGTGTAGGAGGCCAGGAAGATGACAGCGAAGAAGGCCCACACTGACACTATGAACTTACTGGTAGTTCCTTTTGGGTTCTGAACAGGCACAGAGTTGTTGAAGACAAGACCCCACAGCAGCCACACTGCCTTGCCCATAGTGAAGGAAGGGCCATGGGGGTCTGGAGAGAGGACGAAGGAGAGGGATGATGGCTTAGTAAAGTAGAAAAAGCACACAAAATGCAGAGATAAAAGTATGTGTGGATGCGTACCTCTGCCCTGCGCCAGGTTTCGGTTGAATCCAAGAGGACTGATGTACTCAAACATAAAGACAGCCATTGCAGTCACCAGTAGTAGCATCACAAACATCATGACCCACACTGATGCACTGAATGGCTCTGAGAGAGGGGAAGAGAGAGGATAAGAAGATAGAGATTAAGTATTAACACATGTTGGATTACATTTTTATATCTCTTACACATCACTTCCTGACACTTTCTGTCTTTCCATGAACCGAATGAATAAATCAATCACGTGGAGGAAAGTACAGCATGGCTTAACAAGCTGACTCCCCCAACCCACACACACACACACACACACACACACACACACACACACACACACACACACACACACACACACACACACACACACACACACACACACACACACACACACACACACACACACACACACACACACACACACACACACACACACACACACACACACACACACACACACACACACACACACACACACACACACACACACACACACACACACACACACACACACACACACACACACACACACACACACACACACACACACACACTTGCATATACATAGACCACCTCCTATTTGACAGTGTGAGGAGGCGCGCAGTACAGGAAGCCCTGGTGTCAGCACTCCTGTCCTCCCTCGGAGCTCACAACACTACCGCAGGGATTAAACCGGGCTCTAATGTATGAGAGAGCACTGCTGGCAAAGAGCCGTGCACTTTAAGAGTGTGTGTGCTAGTGTGTGTGCATCCTGGCATGCAGCCAAAACAGGGTATTCCTGATAAGCCCTTATAATTGCCACTTTCACAGCAGTAACGGCGCGCTGCATACATGTGAGTGTGTGTACCTCTTCACTTTTATGCTTGCGTGTGCCTTTGTGTGCAGGAACTCGGATCGAAACGAACGTGACTGAGCAGCCGAAACAGGGATATCCACGACCACTCGATTTGGAAATCCTGCGGTTAAGACCCTCTCAGGTAAGTGAGAGTCGTTGTGGCGGAGAGTAGGAGTCGAGCGAAATCCCAGCGGTGAAAGAGCAAGTATTGACAGCTGCGTAACAGAGCAGCGTGTTGTCGTCTCACACACACACACAACACACACACACACACACACACACACACACACACACAAATACCTCTCTACACTCACATAAACAGAAATAAAGCAAACAGATCTTCCTCCCTATCCCTCCTGAGTCAAAGCAACACAGTTCATTCGGTGACAGTTACCGAGAAAGGCTGACGGGGAGACCGTTCCGTTGCTACGGGAGACCATGACGCTGATCCCCGTTTCCACGAACGGGACGGAGAAATCGATGACCTCAGAACGCTCCTCATTGATCGTCAGAGATCCGACGGCCATGACGGCTTTCTTATAGACCACCTTTAAGGGCGGAGGAGAGGGAGGGACGAGGGGCGAAAGGGAGGGGGGGAGGAAAGGGATGGATGGATGGATGAATGAGGAGGGTGATTAGGGATGAAGGAAGCGAGACAGGGAGGGAGGAAGAGATTGATGTGAAGGGGGAGGAAGACGATATGGGAGAAGAAAGATGGTAGGTTTGAGGAAAGGTGGATGAGATGAGGATTAAAAAAGGGGTAAATTAAGAGGGATGGGGGGAATAAGGAGAAGGATTATGGGTAAATCATTAGGTAGAAGGGGAAAGAAGAGAACATAGAAAAAGAAAAGGAGGAATATTGTTTAATAATTTTGTCATTCACAGGTGTTTCACATATGAAGTGAGTGACAGTTCAGTCTGACTGGCACTGATGCTAACAGATTAGCTTTAGACCCTCAGAAGTACAGAACAAACTCATGAACAAATATGCAAGAAAACTCCACATATCTTCATTATAACGCTCTAAACCAAAATAGATCCAAACTCCTGCCAAGCATACCCCAGAACATTTGAATCTCATCGACTCCACATCAATAACGTGTTTAAGCCCAGGCTGATTCTTAAAATCATTGCTAAATAGGATGAATGAACTTCAAATTAGTGGGAAAAGTCTGCCAAGAAATAAGATATATATATATATAGTCAGCAATAAGTTTACAGTCCTAAAACGAACTCTGGGACTTCAAGTTGGAGCTGGCAATTAAAGATATGCAAAACACTTTCTGCAGGAGTAGCTAAGATGTGTTTACTTTCCAAGCATTTACAGCTGCTGCCAACGCCTGTAGCTGAAAGTGTTTTCCCTGCGCTGTGGAAGTTTTGCAAAGTCAACAACTAAAGCTTTTTTTGGAACATAAGGAACAGGAATATCCCGTCACAGACACATCTGTAATTTCCTCTCAGCCTAGGCTAACATTTCAGAGTTGCTACAAGTGAAAACTCATCAATACATTTTCTTATATGTTACCTTAAAGACTAGCAGGAAAAGATAGCTAGTCTTTAAGGTAGCTAGTCAGTAGTCTGCTACTACTAAATCATCTGAATTCTTGTATTCGTCCCACAGAGGGGAATTGTAGATTATTAAAGCACAGTGCCAGTACATATAAAGACACATAAAAAGGCAAGCACAGGTTCATGCACAAATAAAATGTAATCAAATGTAAAAATCTAAAGTGTCTCTTACCTCTCCCACCATCCCATTCCAGACGTTGTTGATTTTCTTGCCATGCTTGCCATTAGTTACCAGGTACAGGTCATAGGTGAACTTTACATACGTGGCAATCTTTTTCAGAATGTCGATGCAGAAGCCTTTGCAGCACTTCTTAACGTATGTCCCCCCAGCCTCAGTTGAGTTGCTAAAGGAACAAAAACACACACAAAAAGCACATTGTTAGCCCGTGATTTCCAAACAGCAGCTGCTTTAAACAATGATCAAAAGCAGTGGAGTTTCTGTGACAGAAAACGACAGAAATTCCACAGAATAGAAGATTTTATAACACGCTTGTGTCTCTGTGTTCTCTGCCACCTCTTACTTGACTACACAGCTCTTCCACTTTAACTTCTGATATACTGTACTGGCCATATTTAGTTTTTCAGGGTCATTTGTCATTTTATTTGCTCAAAATAATTGTATATAATATGTTGTATATTATTTATAATTAAACTTTATTTTTTATTATTTTTGAATATTATAATTTATGATATATAGTTTTAAAAAATGGTTTTATTATATTTCTATATTTGCACCCTTTTTTGATAACCTAATTCCTCCTACTGTGTTTTTGAATGCAGCATTTAACAAAACCTGATTCTGAGTCTTAAACCAGGTGGAGTTGTTTTTGTATTGATTTCACATTTACTTCCACCTTTATGAGCCATGTTTGACTGAAGACTTGACTTGCCTTTGGGGATGAAAAACAAACTCAGTTTCCTTCTCATGTCGTTCTACTTGGTACATGTATACTGTATGAACGCACCCTGGGACGTGTTTCACCTTTGAGCACAGGTCGTTCTATTCATAATTCACATCAGAAAAAAATATGCTCCCTCTCTCCTCCGACCTCTCCGTCTCTCTGGAGGTGGAGCTTTGTGATTGCGCTGCATCTGCAAGCCTTGTACCATCTGTGTGTATGCATTTGAGAGCAGAAGAGTTCAGACAGTGTTCACGCACCCAGGAGCGCACATCAACACTCAGCCACCTGGGACGCTCATTTAACTTTTAGATGTGTGCTAATTCGGCGAAGATGACCTCGTCCTTTAGTTTCACAATAACTTAAGACACAAACTTGATGTAAAGAGAAAAGGAAAGCACATCCGGTCGAGACTCTGCAGCTGAAACTCACTTTGTCACTTTGTAGGAACTCTGGTGTGCCTGAAAAACATTCGGCATTTTTCGCCCCAAGTGCCACTTCCTGTGTTTCCCTCACTAGTCGCCATCGATCTGTCAAATGCACGTCACCCAAAGTGGAATCCGTTCATGTCTTTAAACCGGAAAAGGACTCTTTATGGTCTAATAGTTCCACACAATAGAGAACAATGCTCATTCTGAGAGAGCCAGGCGCTAATCTCTCTGCAGTTGTGCATGACAGGGTGATTTTCTGCAGATATAAGTAGATAATATCTATAGCAGCTGTTCGCACTGATTTCAAATTCAATTAAGAAGCCAATTTACATTTAAGCCCCTTTAGACATACCATGTGTCAACACAATCCGGCTCGTTCCCAGCCAGAGAAGCAATATGGGGTTTGGTTTCCTCATGAATCTAACAAAGACGTTTAAAAAAAACTCCTAGTCTTGTAATGCAATATTTATTTGCCTAACCTTTCAAGCTCGAATTATTTTCAAGCACACTGAAGCAACGGTGGCAGTTACGCAACACAGCAAAGTTAGTAGAAGGAGATAAAGTAGAATTGGTGGATGGATATATCAAACCAAAACAAACCTTTTTTTATATTTGCAAACACAAAAGTATCACAACAAACTTCACAAACCAAAATAAACACAAATAAACAACAGTATTAACCCCCCTTTCTAGTAGTAACATATATTTTTGTGATTAATAAAAACACTTAGTACCAACAGAAGTCAATAACAGACGACTGAATAACATAAAGATGAAATAAAGATGAAATAAGACAAATTAATTCAATTAAAACAATTCAAATTGTAATCGACTTATACATTATTATGTACAATTATGGATTGAGAAAAGTACAACAACTCATTAAAGTTAGATCCACCTTTACCAGCACTTTTAAATAATAATCCAATGATATAATAAATACTATTGTATATCTAATGACAACACTCTGCACTTCTACTTTAACATTTGAATGCCAGACTTATACTTCCAGCTTCTTCCACCCATGTGTGATTTTAAAAGGCCGATAACTTCAACAAGTCCCAATTAGATCTGTGGGGGGGGGGGGGGGGGGGGGGGGGCAGTGAAAGTGTTAGCATATAGGCCAGAACTGTAAGAGCTGCATCCATGAACACAGTGTACCCATTTAGTACAGTTCAGGCAGCGAGAGCATGTGATGTTATGGAGGCTGTTTGTGAAGTTGCCGGGGCCAACGTGATATAGAAACGCTACAGGGCCCCGGGGGTCTCCGGAGAGGCCGGTCCGTGTGTGTGTGTGTGTGTGTGTGTGTCGAGTAGGGCTTGTTCTTAGGCCTAGCCTGGGTGAGTGAATTTGTGGTTCTGCATGCATGGATAGTCCTCCATCCCCCGATCCAACCCCTCCTCTCACTCTGCCTCTCTTCCCTCCCCTCCATCCATCCCCTCTTCCTCCAAATGGACACTGCGGATGCTCGAGAGGGAATTGTGCTGTGGGAGGGAGGAGCGCGCCCGGACGCATTGGCCTGTGAGTGAGTGGACATGTGGCAACAGAAAGTGTATATGAACTTGTGTATGTGTGTTTGTGTTCCTCCTTGGAGATGCTTTATCCTCCGCCCTACTTCACAGTCATGCTGGATGAAAATCTCTGTTGGCCTCTTCCCTGGGACCCTATTACTGCTTAATCATGTGTGTGTGTGTGTGTGTGTATGTGTGTGTGTGTGTGTGTGTGTGTGTGTGTGTGTGTGTGTGTGTGTGTGGTGTGTGTGTGTGTGTTAAGTCATGTGTGTTGCATAATAGTTAAAGACATTCACTTTAAGACTAATGTTATCATAGTTATCTAAACATAGTTTTTTATAATTGTTAGATTTGTTTGGTCCTTTTCTTACAAACAATCTATACAGTACCATATACACCAAGGCAAATTCCTCATATGTGTGAACCAACTTGGCAATACACCTATTTCTGATTCTGAAGTGTGTAGTGTACATGCCATTATTACTGTAGGTGTGTCTGTGTGGAATTATATTAAATTATCTACAAACCAATTACATGCTCTGATTCAGCAGCACTCTCAGAGACACACACACACACACACCCCAAGACACTCTCCCTGTGTGTGTGTGTGTGTGTGTGTGTGTGTGTGTGTGTGTGTGTGTGTGTGTGTGTGTGTGTGTGTGTGTGTGTGTGTGTGTGTGTGTGTGTGTGTGTGTGTGTGTGTTTACTTCAGGAACCTAATATAGCGAGGGGCCAGCAATATTTGGCTGTTAGGAGAGAAAATTGGTAAGAAGGAAGTAAATTGCTGAGTTCAGCAGTCGCCTCCATTTTCAGGGGGGAGTGAAGAAGCTGCTGCAGAGAGACTGCACCTCCACTGAGAGAGAGAGAGGGGGGCGAGAGAAAGGGAGCGCAACACAGACACTGTGCTGTGGGAATGGAAACGATGATGTCATTTTTGCCACCTTCTGATTATACAACACGCTGATATAAAATGTGTGTTGGTGTTCTGTTATGCTGGTCCCATTTTCATATCTACAAGTTGACGATCAGTGATACAGTCTATTTCAGTCAGTGTCGTAGTGAACCCTTAAAACTACAGTATAGTATCATTGTTGGGGATTTGTCCACCTATAGCATAAATGAGCTAACTTATTCACCCACATTGAATTGTAGTTGACTTGACTTTATAAGGATAGTGGTTGAGTGTTTTCCCTTTTCCTCTGCAGGGTAAAACCTGGCTTTTCTCCACTCAACCTGCTCTATTTTGGTTTTCCATTAGCAAAAGTTTTAGATAGTACCTGCATCTTTTTTTAATACCACCTGGGTCAAGGTTTTTCAAGTAAGTTGCGGCAGTACTAGACGCTAGAGATAAAACTCTATACATTCTGCCAAAAGTGATAATATTTTCTTTATTTGTGAAACCCAGATTAGAAACTGCACATGCTTTAGGACATTGACCTACACTCCTCTCTGAGCTGCTTTTCAGCAACGAGTCGTGTTCAGATCAGGGGTCAAACCATTAAACCTGGAAATATGAGGGGGTTTGCAACTATAGCAAAACATTGCATAGCTAGTTAGCAGTGGAGGAAGAAGTACTTTACTCAACCTGTTTAGCCCGAGAGGTTTTTTTTTCACGAAACTGTCTCTCAGGGCTTCTTAATATTTAAAAACCTATGAATGTGTCATACCAGATTAACAGGAAGAAACTCAGCTAACTGACAGTACGAACCATCTTTACCAAAACAAAACACAAGTCTCATAAGAAGTGTCTAAATGACCCCCGAGCGAAAAAATGCTAACGCACTTAGCACAGAACTCAAGGTAAAAATACCCTTATTACTTATCGTAGCTGCACAAAGAAGATATCAGATTAAAGCTGATGTTCCACAGATTATATAGGTATTAGTATCATCACTGAGCGATCAGAACTCGCGACAGGGGAAGCAAACACAGACATCACAACATGTAGCGTGATACCTTTGTAGACGTACGGAATTATTTTTTAGCTTAATGTTTTTTAAAGTATCAAAATAAAAAGTACCCATTATGTACAAAGTATTTTAAATTATATTTAATTCTGTCTTTAATGCTTATATGTAAGCATATTTAAATGTAGGAGTTTGTCAACGTTGAGGCAAATTGAATTTTTCAATACTGGGTATATTAGGAGAATCATATTTTCACGCGTTTTTATATATATATAGAAAACGCTACTAAATATATTTGAGTAAAAACTGCAGTATCTTTTTCTTAAATGTAGTGGAATAAAAATAATAAAGAAGCATAAAATGGAGTAAAGCCCACTGCTATAAATAAAGATGGCCGACTCACTCTTTTATGTGTTTCCTGCAGGGCACAGAGTTCCTCATGCAGGTACCAGTGAGCCTTTCTACGTCCTCCACAATAACGAAAGGCTTCTCCTCCAACGTGACGATGGACAGGTGGTTGTCGTCCATCTCGGCGTCACCGATGGAGTTGAAGCGCGGCCACACCGGGTACTTCAGTGTCAGGCTGCGGTTCTCCAGTTTCCCCATCTGGAAGGAGGGAGAGGAAGGGAGAAAAGACGATGAATTAGTAAAGCTCAATGAGATGGATACTCACTTAAAAACTAGAAACGTTTAACTAACATTAAAGGCATTTACAGAGAGTGTGGAACTCAGCCAATACTTTACAAATAGTGATCAAGCTGGGAATCAGTCACTTTCTGTAACAGTAGTTGGGGTTTAGACCCATGACATCACATAGAAAAGACAGTCTCTAATTACTCGGCAGATCTAATAGTTACAAGTAGACAGGAAGTGGAAGTGGCGGGAAAAAGTCGTCCACCGCAGTGATGATAACATGGCAGGAAAAATGCAGTGTGTTACCTTTCTTTACCTGGTAGTTCCTATAACTGCTGTAATCTGTTGCCCAATAACTCAAAGCAGACAGGAAGTGGAGAGGATTACAAATGTAGACACACGTTAACAATTCCTTGTAATGTTACATATGTTGCTTTTTTTGGAACGAAAACATTGAGATCAGTTCACAGACCATAATTGATGCGACTACCAGTATGACAACATAACATATTAGAAGCATGGTGTGTAAGGATGCATGACAAAATGCACACGGGGGGGACATAAAGTACAGAATGGGCACTAGTGCAAACATATAGGACGAACAGAGAGGGGGTGTGCAAGAAGGATGGGGGCTGTTAATAATTCAGAAAGTTTTCAAAGCTGTGATGTCACAGATTCCCCTATGGATGATCTTGGCCTACCTTCACCTGTGAGTGTGTGTGAGGTGTGTGTGTGTGGTATTTACACATGTTTGTGTCAGACGGAGGAGGCAGAGGGAAAGAGACAGCAGCATGCAGCTAGGCTTTGCTCGACGCTCAATAATTAATGTTACAGGAGCCAGAAAATGGCAAAACCTCGCTCTCACTCTTTCCCTCCATTTCAGAAGTCTTTCTTTCGTCTCTCTCTCTGTCCTCAGCTCACACAGCAACCCCGCTGCAGTGTGGAGTGGATTAGCTGACTTTACAGCCAACGTTTTTTGTGTGTCACACCCTCATTAACACACACAAGAGCGTATATGTGTGGTTGTGTAACGCAGTATCAAATGGAGACGGGCTAAGATACTGAACATTTTCGTTTTAGGCATAGGTGAGCAACAATTAAATATTTAAATAACATAAACATATCATGTTGTTCCTATGCAATATGTATTTATTTTTTATTGGCATTATTATTATTATTACCATTTGTATTACTTCTATTATTATTCATTTATATCTATATACTATTGTTTATATTATAATTCGCTTTTAGTGTGACTTTGAAACATCTTTGCATGAACTACAAATATTTGAAATGTACCTCTTCGAACAGCAATGTTTATTAATTTTCATTTCACTGTCCCTGATAAATAAAATAATATAATACACTTTGCATACGGGCATCATACGTAAAATAGACTGGCCATACTTTCCCCCCTTTAACCCTGAAGTCATCTTGGACAGTGGCGGTTAACCACACACACACACACACACACACACACACACACACACACACAACACACACACACACACACACACACACACACACACACACACACACACACACACACACACACACACACACACACACACACACACACACACACACACACCACACACACACACACACACACACACACACACACACACACACACACACACACACACACACACACACACACACACACACACACACACACACACACACCACACACACACACACAAACACACACACACACACATACCATGTATACATCACTTCAGGGGACATTACATTGACTTACATGCATTTCCTGGAGACTTATCCTAACCTTAACCATAACCAACACATGCCTAACCCTAACCCTAATCCTAAACCTAACCAAGTCTTCACCCTAACATTAATGATTCTCCTCATGGGGACCTCCAATTTGTCCCCATAAGGGAGGCGAGTCCCCACACGTGACTGTGTAAACAGATTTAGGTCCCCACAAGTATAGTAATGCTAGGCCACACACACACACACACACACACATGTTGTTGCTTCGCCTGCATGTCTGTCATTAACAGGCGAGCAGAGTGGAGGAAGTGGAATTAGCATTTTAATTGTTTTGCTTTGAGTGGTTGCGCTATCCTCTGACAGGGATTAGAGTCTTTTCTCCGCTCTGAGTCTGCACCACTGTCAACAGCTCACTCTGCTGTCGGCTACATCTCTACCAGTGCGTGTGTATGTGTGTGCGTGTGTGTGTGTGTGTGTGTGTGTGGAGGCAGGACGGTATGATGAGGTGGAATGTGTGCGATTTATTGTGTGTCACCTTCACTCTCGAGGGAATGGCCCGCATTTGTCTATCTGTCTTACCCCAGCTGTTTTGCATTTCACAAATGAGCGACTGCATGCCTGTAGCTACACACACATGTAAGTGTGTGTGTGTGTGTGTGTGTGTGTGTGTGTGTGTGTGTGTGTGTGTGTGTGTGTGTGTGTGTGTGTGTGTGTGTGTGTGTGTGTGTGTGTGTGTGTGTGTGTGGTAAAGACCTGGTGAGGTTTCGTAGGAATTGGTAATGTCAAAGTGATGGGGAATTGGTGCATAATTAGATACATTATAAGCAAAAGAGGGATCCTGCAAAAACAGATAAATAAAGATGTGTCAGTGAGTTAAATATCTTAACAATGTTACATGCTGATTGTAGTCATTTTCTAGTTTTAATAAGACCCTAAAAGAGCACTTATGAGCTGTGTCTGCTATGCCGATAAAAAGACCCCCGGGGTGAAAAGTGGAAAAACATGCTGAATCTTTCTTGTTGTAGATTGAAAATATCACTTTCTTTGAGAACATGACCATGTAATTAACAGTTTGGTCACATATAATGCACAATGCACATTCTACACTGACTGATGGTCCTATGATGTAATACGTTTGCTTTAGTACACCTTTAAGTATCAGGAATAAAGCTGAATACAGACCTCAAGTCTGATTGATCCATTCAATCATTAATAGGAGCTGTTGAGGATTGGCCCTTATTTTGAAGGAGCGATTAGTGTTCTACTCTTAGATTCTTGAAGGAAAGAGAGGAGAGGCAGGAGGAGGCGGAGGAGGAGGAGGGAGGAGGGAATGTGCTGACTTCAGCAGCTCTTCAGATATCCTGTCCTCCTTCTTTCTCCTTCTTCTGTCTCTCCTTCTCTCTAATTAAAGAAAGAGGGGTTATAAATTAATGCCCAGAGAGGAGAGAGGATTTTCTCTATCGACCGGTAAGGCTGCAGAATGCTGAATCTCCCTCTATGAAATACCAGATATATCACACACACACACTATACATGCACACAAAGGAGTGTGTGTGTGTGCGTGCGTGCGTGTGTGTGTGTGTGCGTGTGTGTAATGTGACAGCGGGGCCAGTGGGAGGTTATGATGATAGGGCCCGTGGGATTACCGCATTATAACATGACATCCCATGGCGACAATCCTATCGCACCATCACCCTGCGACGGATCCAGAACCACTCAGCGTTGAGATGACACTCTGCCCCAGAGTAACTGCTTTCCTTATTTTGTTCTGGAACCCCGTTGTTTTGTTTAATCTACAACTGTTTCTTTTGTCACCTCAATCTTGCCCTTTCCTTTAAATCCTCCGCTTGTTCTCTCTCTTTTCTTTATAGCTTTATTTTGAAAGGGCTTGCCCTTTGCACCTGCATGTCTTGTTCTCTATCTCATCTATTTCACACTGTTCTCTTTTTTCATTCTGTGAGTGTGTGTGTGACCTATACACACACACAGGGGCTACAATAAACCACAACCTGGCTGAATAACGGGGGTCAGTGCTCTTACAACTGAGCACCTTCTCTGTGCCAGTGTCACTGGGAGAGTTATCGCTGTGGCAAGTTGCATTATGGGAGAATGAGTCCCTAATAGCGTGGAGAAACCCATTCAGTCATAAAACAGTATCTGTCATCTCTGTCAGACAAAATTATGTCGGCAGAATTGATTCTGCTTTCCCTCTCCTACGCTTGCTGTTTATATCTGTGTGTGTGCGTGTGTGAGAATGCACGTGCATGCCGGTGTGTGTGTGTGTGTTTGTGTGTAAAAATAAGGGCAGAGAGAAAGTGGATGATGGAGTTAAAGAGCGAGAGAAAAAACGCATCCATGGATTTAGACATCTTTCATAGAAGTAAAGCGCTTTTCTAAAGATTCTGAATATAGTGAGGCTTGGATTGTGTGTATCTGTTGTTTTTGGAGTGTGTGTGTGTGTGTATGCGCGTGGGCTTTTTCATGCGTGTCTCCCCTCTATATTGTGATTCTCCAAGCACAAATCCCATGCTGTCTGTAATAATTATTTGGTGAACTGTCTGCTAACACTGCAGCAGTTCCTGAAGCAATTTACACACTGCATCTCCTCAGCAGGAATACAACATCCTGGTTCTGATCGTTAAACACCTTCCTCCCATTCTATCCCCGAGATTATTCTGTAACTCTGAATGCAGTTGGAGCATTAATCAGAAGTTCTGCCATTGATTAGAAAGATCCACCAACCGTGACATGGTGTTGTCGTATTTTACTTGACCACTTTACATTTTCTGAAAGCAGGAGTCAATACATATTTATGAATGACTCCGCAGTCCGATTGATTCTTTTATTTTCCAAGAAAGATCCTCTCAACCATCTTAGGCAACAGCATTTCTTGAAGTTTACCATTTCACCTCGCTGTGCAACAAATAAATCTTTCTATTTTGATTTTGAAGACATTTTCTTTTTCAGATTTAAAGTCAATTCTTAGCAATGGCCGGCGTCTTTAGGCACGGCAGTGTTGGCCGGTCGAACACTCCCCGACTTTAGACACAAATTAAATATATATTGGATTGCCTACCGTGACAGTTTGTATGGTCCGTAGAGGATACATCGGAATACTTATATGATGTCTTAACATTTCCTCCGCATCTCTAGCTCTGTAGCTTTCGTGTCATGTAAATATCTGAGCTACATTGACACCAAATGCTATACAGAAATAAATAAAATGACTAATGATACACTCAAAGTTTGTCTTCAGCTTAACCATGAATTACCAATTTGAGGTATTAAGGTTAAATAATTGCATTTGGTGATGCCTTAACTTCTCCTCCAGCATTGTTAATATCAGAACTAGCTATTAGCTTTGGCTAGCACCGCTATCCCGAAGTAGCTTTGCTAGCATGGCTATAGAATATTGGTCTTTTCAAAACCAAATTCCAAATGGTTTTAATGAGTTTTACTGTATAGGTGAAGTCATACTGTTAAGCAAAGCATAACATTCAATATAAATCTTAATAAGGTGTATTTTGTGTATATTTGTTTGTGTGGCCTTTTGCATAAAGTATAGAGCAAGCCTTTTTAAAGCTGCTCATTACTACACCCACATTGAATACGTGCACATCTTCCCCAGGATGCAGCATCATTACAATTTATTAACGTTTTTGTGATGAGAGGAGCTGAGCATGCACCGTCTTTGTTACACATTAGTGCACGGTGAATGCTTAAATATTTCACTGCCGGCAGGACGGCATCCATCTGAATTGTCATTCTTTCTTGCTACTACATCTGTTCAGTTGTTACACCACATTTTATTCCCCAGATAAAAAGCCTAATTTTGCATAAATCCCCCATAACGCCACAGTGGATCCAGCCCTCTAATCCAGTCGAATACAGCTGCATGATTTGCTGCAGTCTGCGCTTCTTTTGAATCAAATTCCCTGGCGATTACATAAGCCTCGAAAAAAATATCCAAACAGCATCCAACAAAGCAGGTGTGGCATTTAAAAGAAAAATATTTCTGTGTGTTTGTGTGTGTTGCAGAAAAAACCCAGCAGGTATGGCTGCAACACCTGTAGTGGGTGCATTTTTTTTATATCCACCTCCCCTCTTTCTCCCTCTCTCATCTCTTTGTGTCTCTTTTTTCTCATTTGCTCTCACTATTCCCCCCCATCCGTCTGTACCGCTCGCTCCTCTCTGTACATAGCTCTCCCTGTCTCTTCCTCCTCTGCCTCAAGGGGACACATTTTATATTTTTAGTGCATATCCATATGTTAGTGCAGTTACTGAATTTGTATCTCTTGATCATCATGGATTCTTTCTCTTTCTCTCTCTCTACGTGTGTGTGTGTGTGTGTTGAATTCTGGTGCATGGGTTGGACGGCTGCACCAGTGGGAGGGAGGCGGGGGGAGAGCAGCTCAGCCCAATTATGTTCCCACTTCGGGTCTCTGTGTCTCTCTTTCTCTGCACCGCAGTGCAAGTGGTACTGATCAATTTCACAGGCTCTCTGTTTACAACAATAGTCTACCTCCCCTCAGCACACTAACAAAGGGTCTTTTGTGTGTGGAGTGTGTGTGTGAGTGTGTGTCAGTATGAAATATGAAAAAGCCAGTCTCAAAGATTGGGTGGAGACTGTGTGGATTGCGGCAAACTAAACCGAATACTGTAACAGGGATGTGACCTGAATACAATTGGTGGAAGCACAAGTCTGTAGAGAAAGTGTTTCTGCCCATAACCAGTGTGGAAGGATAAACATACACACACACACACACACACACCCACACACACACACATGCAAGAGCAGTGACCCCTTAACACCCCAAAAACAGAGGTCTTAGGTTTTGATTAACTGTGGTTTGAGGTGCTATCGGAGACCACAACAGCAATCACAGCTAAAGACAGACAAAGAACACAGTTTATCTGGCCTGGGGAAGAAGGGAACAAAATGATCTAAGCAGAAAGGAGGAGTAAAAAGGAAAGGAGATGGACACAGAGAGGAAGAAGAGGCTAGCGAGGAAATATGCAATACGTTGAGAGGAAGAGGAAGGACTCAGAAAGTGGGGGCAATGAATGAAGAAAAAGACAAAAATACATGACCATCCATCTCCCTTTCTTCCTTAAGCCCTTTTCTTTAGCAACACCTCTGTGTTTTCCATCTCTGTCTCAAACTTTGACCCTTAGCCCCCCCCCCCCCGCGCTCTAAATCTCAGCCTGTGGGCAGCCAGATGTAGGTATAAAGATACATGGCTGCCATTTAAAGTCCATTACAAGGGGCGAGAACACTCAGCCATTTTCTTTTTAGAACCTTCCTCGCATTGCCCAGTTAAAAGAATCCATGCGCCCGTTGGTAAATGAGCTCATTGATCAAGTGAGCGCTGCACAACGAGACAGAATGAGGTAGCATTTTCAACACTGCTGTTCGGAGCTTGTTGCAGGTTTTGTTTTCACAGCTAACTCCTGACTACCTACAAACTTATGAAACCAAAGTACATTTAGGTTTGAATGCATGCCCTAGTTATTGGCTAAGGAGATGTGTTCTGGTTAGTATTTGAGAAGGATAATAGTAACTGTGACGCAGGGGGGTTCATTGGTGACTTCCAATCAGAGGGTCGGTGTTTCGTTCCAACCAGTAGTCTACACGTCAAAGTAGGGCAATATAGTTAACCCCAGACGGTATTGAAGTGTATAAAGGTTGCTTTGGATCAAAAGCTTAATGTAATGTTTAATAGGGCTTGAGCGTTGCATTGAGTAGGTTGATTCTAACAGCCAATAGCAGGTTATCAAATACATAATGGTAATGGTGCATTTGTTTCCAGTAATAGAATCAATTGTAAAAACAAAAGCAGCATTAACACAAACAGACACACCAGGGTCGTAGCCATTATTTTAAAAAGTAAACTCCAAATTGTCTTGTTTTTTTACCAACCATCGACTATGCTGTTTTCTGACTATTTAAATACAATTTTCTTTCAATTAATTTGAATAAATAAGCCAAGATAAACCCGTATTGATCTCAAGAGGGGGACACAAGAATAAAAAATGATTTAAAAAAAAAAATATATATATAAAATGTAAAAACATAGACAAACAAATTCAAACAATGTAAGAGTAATTAAAGTGAAAATGACAAGGTAACAGTGAGTAAGTGGTGTGATAGTAGCAGCAAAATCAGCAGGTTATTGTAAAACAGCGTACACCAGATATTTAATATGATTGAGTAAAGAAACATCGTTTGTGTCACTACTAACCTAGGAATAAAATATGTTGTACAACAAAATATCACATCAACAAAATGTAGTATCATTTAGCACAGCATTATTAAGCATGGAAAATAAAATAGATGATATATAAATAATATATATTATAAATATCAAATATTGTATAATATACATGCATATAACACAAATACATAAATCAATCCAACAGTTAACACATGTAGAGGCCAAATAACTTGTAACCGTTCAATCGCTATATGTTTTATTTATATTTCTTTAGATGTTCAAATCAAATGTGTTGAAGATTAAAGGTGGGGTCGGTCATTTTGGAGAAACCGGCTCGAGGGCGCTTGAATTTGAAAATACACAGCCGGAGAAAATCTGCCACTTCCTCACAGAGCCCCTCCTCCAACACACACGAACGCGCACATGACCAATGAGGGCACGAGATGAGTTTGTGCACAGATGGAAGGCTGACAGGCAGGTAGGCCATCCAGTTACTTTAGCCGGCTCAGATGATTGGTCGTTCTTTTTACAGCGCCACGGCTTCCACTGATGACTTTTTTGTCAAAGCACTTAAGATATTCATTGCTATCGGGATGTTAAGAGCATTCCATGGAATATAACAAAAAGTGTATCTCGAGCCGGTTTCTCAAACTTACCTACCCCACCTTTAAGCTTCCGCCTCTTAAAACTTGAATACAAATGAGTTTAAAATATCGATGAAGTTGTATTAGATATATCTGCGCGATTGCAACATGAACGTACAATTACAACAAATGTTATGGCACATTTTACATATGTGTTCTTAGCGGAAGAACTCACAGGAAGATGTGTGTGTTTCTCCATGTACACACACACACACACACACACACACACACACACACACACACACACACACCACACACACACACACACACACACACACACACACACACACACACCACACACACACACACACACACACACACACACACACACACACACACACACACACCACACACACACACACACACACACACACACACACACACACACACACACACACACACACACACACACACACACACACACACACACACACACACACACACACACACACACACACACACACACCACACACACACACACACACACCACACACACACACACACACCACACACACACACACACACACACACACACACACACACACACCACACAATCCAACCCAGAAGCATGCAGATGTTGATCCTACCTTCTCCCACTCTCTGTCCTTGTTGAGAACAATGACCACCAGCTTTGGGAATTCCTGGTAGCCATCTTCTGTGAATGACAAGTCCCTGCCATCCCATGTCACATTCATCATGAACCTGAGCGTGAGGAAGAGGAGGAGGGGGAGGAGGAGGAGGAGGAAAGTAGGGCAAAGGGTACCGAAGTAAGAGAGATGGGAACATAGGAGGAGAAGCGGGTAGAAAATTCAGAGAGTGAGAAAAAGAAATGAATGGAGGCGAGGAGAAACACAAGGAAAAGGAAATTGAATTACATTATCATGAGAAAAAGTCAATGTACAATCTACTGGTATTACTATCCTAAAATATTCACACAGGCTCTTGTATGGAGTAATGCTGCAGGATAAAAAAAAGATCTATTCACATTGAGCTGTGGATTTGGAAAAAACAACTAGTTAGGATTATCTTTGACTGATATTGCAATTGGGATATGATTCGCAATATTACAGAGATTGGTCATTTTTGAAACATTATGCACATTATAATCATAAAACTAAAAAGTGTGATTTGGAGTGTGTGTGATTATTGTACTAGTCCATTTGGATACAGTTTTGATTAATTACACAGACTTAAAGAGGCCCTTTTATGCTTTTGGTTTTCCCTTTCCTGTAGTGCGGTCTGCAAAAGCTAAAATCCCATATCTCTCCCACACGTGTCACAGTAGAGGCACAACGCAAACATTTGAACCAATAATGAGCATAAGAGGGCCCCTTTAAACAGAAATCCCAGAATGAGAAAAAGTAAGTGACAATGGACCTAAAGCCAAAGTGTCTCCATGCCGACACTCACCACCCACACACTGTAATGAGTGACCCATATGGCAGGTCACATTAGCTAAGATGGAGGGCAGTGGGAAGATATTCTTGGGTCCACTCTGCCTCCACATTAATCATGGCTGCCCCCCCCCCCCCCCCCACTCTGCTCTGTCAGCGGTCATGTACAACAAGAGGGGGGAGACAGCTCCTTTTTTCTTCCTCTTCGACTCCATTCTGGGGCGACAGGGCAAACTTCTAAATAGAAGATGGAGCCACGTGACGCGTCTTTGAGAAGCCAAAGAGGAGCGCTGCAGGTGAGGCGTCCCCCGCTGTGCACGACTTTGTGCGGGGGGGCACATGCTGCTACTGTTGGGGCATCGACACTTGACATTGAATGATCATAATAAAGGGCTTAAAAAAGTCTCCAGATGAACATTCATTTCCTCCCTCTTTAGATATATTTCCCTGTGTGACTTTACCATTAAGTTCTATATTTAAAATTCAAACAGACGGCTGCATCTCTGTTAGAAAAACGTATTATTTGCTGTGTGTGAATAAGGTCAATTGCATGCTATTCTAATTATGTCATAATTACATTTGTTAGGTTTGTTTTCTTTCACTGTTTATGATTGCTTGTATGTTATGTAAATCGATTTGTTCTTTGTTTGTCTTTTTGTTGTTTTCCTTATTTTCTCAAGTCTGGTAATTTGTTGGTTTAAATAGGGAGGTCTCTAAATAACCCTGAAAGGCGTTCTTCCCCATCTGCATTGTTGTCAATGTATTAATTAATTGAAGTAGAGTTGCGTATTTTATTTCTTAATCATTGTGCAGATAACTAAACTAGATTAATATCAATAAATCAATCAATCAATGTTTATTTATAGCCCAATATCAAATGTTACATTTGTCTCAGTGGTCTTCACAGTGTGTACAGAATATCAGTATGACAATACGACACCCTCTGTCCTTAGACCCTCACATCGTACAAGGAAACACTTCCAGAGAAAACCCCATTCAGTGTTGGGACTAACGCGTTACAGTAACGCGTTACAAGTAACGCGTTACTGTAACGCCGTTATTTGTGGCAGTAACGAGTACTCTAACGCATTACTTTTTAAATTCAGTAACTCAGTTACCGTTACTACATGGTGCGTTACTCCGTTAGTTTTTTTATATAGTCAACAGCCAGGCGAACAGAGATGAGAACTGTACTTAAGTACTTGAGTAAATGTACTTAGATACTTCCTGTGTCACATGCGGAGACGCGCTGTGGGCGTGTTTGTGTTGTTTACTAACAAGACTATCATGGCGGCGGCGGAGCTCAAGTCTAGTTTCTCCACCTGGAGATATTCTCACTATTTCACTTTTGTCGAGCACAAAGAAAAGAACGTTTTAGTTAAATGTAATTTGTGTCTTGGCGGGTCAAAGATCTTATCTACTGCCCAAACCAGTAATTCAAATCTCTTAAAACATCTGCAAAAACAACATGCTGGGACGAAGCTAGTAGCTAAGACCACAGAGACTCAGCCGACGCCACTCCACCTCCACCTAAGCAACAGCGGCTGGATTTTAACCGAGGGACTGCTATCCAGGGAAAAGTCGGTAAAGCCATTGCACGGTATGTTGTAGAACACATGCAGGCTATTGCTACAGTGGAGTCATCCGCTTTCAGGGAGCTAGTTAGCATGATAGCATGTCCGGGCGGCATATGGGACGGAACACTTTTTCCAACTACCTGGAGAAAGAATATACAAAAATGGAAAGCCAGCTAATATCGATGCAATCCAGATTGCATATAATGCATGTCAAGTTGATCAACAGATTGTATTATTCTCCAATGCAATAACAGTACTGAAATGAAGGCTATAAGGGCATTAATGGGAGCCCTTTTTGCAAGTAACGAAAACGTTAAAAGGTTTTCAGTAACTAGCACAACACTGCTTATAATACACTTTAAATAATGTGTTATCCCTGGGGGTACGTTGGGGTACTGCAGGGGGTACGTGAGATTTTTAAAATTAAAAAAGGTTAATTAAAAAAATAATCTTAGTAAAATAAGTCAAATAGAAAACACAATTTTATATAAAACATTCCTAGAACCACCAAGGGGGTCCTCATATCAACATGTCAAATCTGTGTATTGTATTTTATAGTTTTTCACAATAACATATTACTTAAATTGAAAAACTCCTTGGAAAAATCTGTTTTATAAAAGTGTAATGTTATTTTTTTTCATGCATAAAATGAAAATATCCTTAGTTTGTTGTAATGCATACCACGAAGGAGTTAATACATCACACACTGAGGCAACATCACTATATTGTAATTATTCATATAGGCTTTTTCGATCAAAAATGTTCGGGATCGGTCAGGGGGTACTTGGCTGAGAAAATGTTTCAAAGGGGGGACATTACTGAACAAAGTTTGAGAAGCCCTGATCTAAGTAACTGGCTAGATGTGTAGCTTTAATGCCAGGCATTATATTAACTAAACGATCATCTTCTGGATTAAACTGTTCACAGTAAATTGATTAAATCCGTTTTATTAACTAAGCTGTATCGGACAGACCTACCACTTGCATTCCACATGAGGCAGCATTCTGGACCAATTGTAATACAAGGACAGAGAGCTAATAGAAAACCAGGCTGTGCAATATATTTGTTTGTGTGTTTTTTTAAGTGTGTCTGTGTGTGCGGTGGCATTTTCCAATACCTTTTAAATTGCTGCTGCTAACACACATGCCCACACTAACACACACACAGCCACTCAATGCCCAGATGAAATCAGGCAGAGATAAGGGGATTGAGTGGCTCTTGTGATTAAAATAATCTGATTGGCCTGCAAGCAACCAGGTGAGTAGTATTAAGCCTTTTGATTGGACAAGGGATGTGGCACTGAACCCAATTATGTGCGACTACAGCAGAGGAAGAGGTGCTGGAATCAATACCAGACTGCTCTTTTAGACAACAGCCCATTCTGTGCTCTGCATCCATCCATCTGCAAACACACACCGCTTACACACACTCACACACCGCTTACACACACTCACACACCGCTTACACACACTCACACACCACGAGAACACAGTAGGAGTTTGTTTATTGCACATTTGGCTCTCCTTTGTTGCTTTCATTGTCTGTCATGCTCTTTCTTTTGACAAACCAGCGTTATTACAGAGGATCTGATGCAACCCCGATGAAACAATGTTGTGCTGGGTGTCATCGTCTTAAGTCAATGCACAATGAGAGCTGAGAGGGAGTGGGGGGGATCATCAGATAACCTGATTTACCATTTGCTGAAGAAAAAGTTCTACCATTTAGCTGAAGAGGCCCTATTATGCTGTTTGGGGTTTCCCTTTCCTTTAGTGTGTTGTTGTGCATGGTCTGCAAAGGCTAACAAATCCCAATGTCTTTAAACTGTGAATATTCACTCAAATAAATACAAAATATAATAAAATGAACATTAAGGTGGAGCATTTCGATGAGCTGAAATAATCTGTATTTGAACTGTACTAGTCCCTAAGCAGCCAGCTTGACATTAGGACTTGCTTTTCATTGTATTTTCATGTTGTTTTAAAGAAAGATGAACTTGTCCACATTGCTTGCTGAAAGGGCAGATCTGCTGGCACTAACAATGTCTCCTGCTGTGGAGAACACCCTCTCTAGGGACAGAGGTAGCAGATACAGCCAGGTAGCGCTTTGCTAACATGGCAACATAAGGATATTTGGTGTTTGTAATAGCTTTGACTCGGTCTGAACTCTCTGCGAGTGGTGGAGGCTTACATGCTAGTTAGTGGGAGTTGGGTTTGCACTTCAGTCTTTTTTCTTTTGGTACCGGTGATATTCACGTTCGGGTGATGCCTTTTCAAGAGTGTGCAAGTTTGATGTATTGCCAGCCGCGTAACCTATTTTAGTTGAACAATGTCGACAAACAGCTTTGGTTCGGTCCACCTGTCTTTGTCCGTCATCCTTGTACGTAACTGTGAAACCAAAATGTTCCCAAACCGGAGACTTCAATGATGCTGGAGGATTTTCGAGCTCAACTTTATCTGCGTTCGCCATTAATTTTTGACAGTTCCTCAAATTACTGACTACATTTGAACGCATCCCTCTGAACAGCTCTCATAGTATGCCTCTCATCCAATGAAATGACTTGCTCGCTCTATGACGCGTTGAACCCAATGTGACCAAATTACTCTGAATGCTGCGACGCAGCACCTGAGATTACTTCCAAAAAGTTGTTCACGTTCTCAATTTTTTACGTTTAACGTTATATTCGTTCGGTACACTTCGGTACACACCTGTACCGAACCGAAGGGCCCG